GCGTATCTTCTAAAATCACCTAATTTGTTCAATTTTAGGGAGGGGCACCAAAAGGGGAGGGGGCGCCAACAGGGGGGCGCCTTTTCGGCAGGGGGGCGCCAACAGGCAACCTTACGCCACTGGTTCCGTGTGACTTATTTTCTTTCCAAAGGAAGTACTTTTTCAGTGACATTGTTAAGACATGAAAGCTTGGTATTCTGCTTTCGTCAACTTGGTAGAGTGTAGCTGAGAGGTTGTCACCTTGTGTGAGTACTTTGCACATGAATTTAACCGAAAGAGCTTCGAGTTGCACATCCAGTGGTGGGAGGTGGAGAGCAAGTTCGGTTAATTCCCTTTGTGGATTCAGGACTGATCCAGATATTTTTAGAATGATTTTATTCCAGAAGCTTTTAAATTGATTGAGACACTTGTGAAGCCAAATAGGTGCTGCGTAGAACAGTTTAGTGAGGACCATTGTTTTAAGGAGGAGAGTGAGGCTGTAAACGTTTAGACCGTATTTGCGGTTAGTTGATTTTGTTATTAATCCCCACTTTCTTTTGCATTCTTTAAGTTTTTGAGACGCATGTTTCTTGAAATTGAGGTCTTTATCTACTATTACCCCAAGGACCTTTGTGCTTTGGACGTAGTTGATGCTTTTCCCATTAATACATAATTCTGCAGGTTTCTGTTCTTCAGTATAAGCTGCAGTTTTCAAGATTAAGGTTTGATATGCTACAAAGCACACTCATAGCACTCCGGGGAATGAGAGGAAGACAAAAAGCCCAGCACCTTGGACTAGATGATGTATCCTTCAATCTCATACCTCAGAAGACAAGCTATGAGGTCTCTTAAGTTTGTCTATGTAAATTTTATAGATAATTTATTGTAGCTTTTATATTGTGTAAAATTTTACGGACGAAATGATCCCAAGGGGACTCCCAACCCACCGCTTCAGCAGGTAGTTGATACATTTTTCACAAGCAAGAGCCACTTTGGTCTACTTGCTGTAATGTGTCTCAGCTACTGCAGTCAGTAAGATGACGTCTTGATTGTAAGAAAATTAAAAAAGTTAAGGTGGAATCAAGAATGTTAGGGAGGAAAGGTTTTGTGAACTACTTAAGGATGTTGTAGAGAAGTCAGATCCTCTGCAGAGCAATATCTTAAAGTGAATCAAGAAAAGGGCATCATTATAATTATTCGTTGAATCACCAATTTTGGTTGAGTGTTGAGGATGTCCAAACTTCACAGTTTGTAGCGGCCAATGCTAAATGTGAACTGCTAGGAGCTACAAATTCCAAATTTTCTTTTACCTGGCGTGCCATTCCCTTCGTAAGCATTCATTTCATTTTTATAAAATTTGTTTCAAAATTAAAAAATCGTTTGATAAACATTTTATTTACACTTTCCTTGGAAGACTTCTGCACCGCTTCGACGCGCCGCGCAAACAAGCATTCTTGCTGCGTAGCACAAAACTTTTTTCTCCGATTTCGATAAATTTGGTACCAAAAGTTGTCTAAAAATGTGAATAAAATAAATCAACCGTGTAGCAATTATCGCTAAAAATGGTACACGACGTTTGTTTGCCGCGCGTGCTTTTTTCGCGCAAATTTTTAGTTTTTGGTCTATTACTTTCACATTTTCAGTTATTATCACATAATTATTGTAAAATCGTAATCAGCTCATCGAGAGAAAACTTTTAGTACTAACATTTTAAGGTTGAAAAATTAATGAAACAAATTTTTAAAGCTGAACACAAAAGTCCCCCCTTGTGTTAAATTTTAAACAAATTTTCATAAAATTTGGTGCTTCAAATATTATAATTTTGGTACCAAAAGTTGCGTCTGACTAAGCTCATTACGATCCTGTAAGAATTATTATAAAATGTTCAATATTTTAGGAGTTATAGGCATTTTAAGCAATAAATTATTCATTTTTCGTCCTTTGTACACTCAAGGTTGCTTTATCCAGAGCCCTTGCGTTTGTAGTAGCGCGCGCCCGCCTTGACTTGTGAAACAAGCGCGCCCGCAGTGGCGCGAAAGCACATGGTTAGGTTACTGGGCCGCGCTCAGCCTGTCATTCCGCCTAATCTCTATTCGGGCTGAGTGAAATAAGACTTCCATCGCACTGAAAAAAAGTGCGAATGCTCATTGGAAGTTAGTCTGCGCGTGACCAACATCCACGTGACCGTTAAGAACTAATTGTTGCCTCGGAAAAAAACACGTGCACGCTAACTACCAATTGGAGAAAAGTGACATATACGCTACAGGAGCCGCGCGCTGACTTAGTTTGTAAAATTTTATTATTGAGTTTAAAATCGAGCGATGCGAGGCCGAGTGTGCTGGTCACTGCACCTCGTGTTGACACACTGTAAAGCTTGATATATATTTGGTAAGTGTTACTCTCTTCAGTTGTTTGTTGTTCCTCCAGATTTTATTTTTACTTAATTTGATGTTTATGAACATAATAGCCTGAGGTCCCCAGGTAAATGGTTAGGTAAACACTCAAGGCAACATGTTATAATAATGCTAAAAAGTACCGCGCGCCATGACATGCTATTAACAATGGAAAGAAATCTCGCCCTTTGAGCCAATTATGCTGCATGGCGCAAAAAGAAAAAGCAAGCAATACACTAACAAAATGCTTTTGTTTGTCATTAATTAGACGATTAATGATAAACAAAAATTTTAATTTTGAAAAAATTTACAGCAATGTGCGCACTTTGGCATTTGGGGAATGTGCTTTTGATGAAAATACAACCTGCACCATTTGCTTTTGTGTTTTCCTGAATTGTTGTTTTCCTGAATTTAATTGGGCCACAAGCAACATTTATAAAACAATTTATTTGTGATTATAATATTCAATATTGAATGTTGAATATGAATGTTTAAATTTATTTTTATCATGACTATCATGTTAGTTGGTATGTTGGTATAAAATACAAATTTGTTTCATTAAATCTTTGTTTTATTTGATAGTTCTTATTTTACTAAAATCAAATATCTTATTAAAACAAAGATTTAATTTTATACAATTTAATTTTTACTCTTATTATCAAAATTATTTGGCAAATCATTACTCTTAATATTACAATTATTTGGCAAATCATTATTGGGTCGGTGCTCAGCCTGTCATTCCGCCGAATCTCTAATCGGTGGATATGCTTATAAACATAATAGCCTAGGGGGTCCCCAGGTAAGCAAATCATTAATATAAAGCAAAAATAGTAATGGTACTTACACTGATCTTTGACAAACACCAGACCTTACATGGTGCTTCATTAAGTGTGCATACCACACAGTTTTGTTTGTGGTTTTGAGAATCATATCTAAAATTATTATGCCAGATGCCTTTTGATACTGTGTTTTAAGACTCATATTTTATATTTTTGATAAAAGTGAACATTTGGCCCTAGCTATTGTTCTAATTAAGGATCCGGGATCGGAAGGCTGGTTGCCCGGATCACAGTACAAACCTGTTTCGATATACCCTAGTTTAAATTTGTCATGTGAGCCGTGCAAAGAGACAGTCAATATAATCTTAAATCCAATACCGTGCCTCTCCACACCGTGAACCTCCATACATATTGTGCTTTTCCATTCCCTTGATCTGTGTTTGACCAGTTCGCACAAGAAATTTGATTCATTAGAGCTCACAGAGCATTTGTTGGTGATACAGATGTGAATGCATACTATAGCTCTATTGCATTGCAATGGGCTGCTAGAGGGTGTATAAAATGCTTGACATGTTATTAGAGAGGCTTCCAATACTGGCAATTGAGATCATGTAAAAATCTTTACAGAGTATTCATCTTTGGTTATTACCTAGACCTCATGTTCAGGGTGATAAGCATACAGAGTGTAAGAGGAGAAATATCAGATATGACAGTTTGATCTCTTGACAGACTCTATAATTGTTTGAGATTTAAAATTTGAACTATTTAGATAGCTGCTGAATACTGAGTTTATCCCAGTCAAACTGAAACAACCACCTCCTTATGTTTTGGAAATAATGAAATCAATTTATAGCATAGGGCGGGTCAGAAACATTTGATCATTTGCATCATGAATTGCTCACCTTTTCTACAGTTTACGCCAGATTTTTACATGATCTGCTTATTTTTTACGTTAGACAAATGGTTTTTAGATCCGTAACCAGCAAAACCCTGAACATGGGTTCAGGAGAACATTTTTATAATCAGTGCTGCGGCCTAAATCGTGCTTTTTCTGTGCTGCTAAACAAACATTACGCATCACTTTTATGTTTTAAATAATCCCCCTCCAGGCTGTGCTCAGAGGTTCTTGAAACCACTCCAATTTTGTGGAATCTGGGTGTCTGCAAGTATCAAGTCAAAAGTAGAATGATTTTGATTTTGGGGGTTGTTTCAACCCGAAAGCCAAAATTTGTGATTAATACTATATTTACATCTGTACACCTTTGAGGCCTCTAGTTTATGAATTTGACCATCCATGACTGCCACTATATTTGAAGGTTTTGTAAGGTAACATTTTATATGTTCATCACTCAACTTCCAAATTCAGTTCAGAATTTAAGCTTGTTTTTTTATAAATAATCGATCATACCATATCTCTGTTTTTAACGGCTTTTAGTTTTCCCCCAGATTCCGTGGTAAATCAGGATTTTACTGTACTTATACTACAGTACTTATTGATACAGCAAATGTTTGGGATAAGCTTATATCCTCAATCATACTATTTTTATTTTTGAAACTCGTTTAATCTTCGATTGAATGATGATTGAAGATTATGAAAAGTAGAATTCCTTACTTTCATTATATAATACTAATTGAGTAGAAGTTTTAGCTATCCACTGCAAATTCAACAAGTGAGACGAAGTTGATTAACTCACGATTCTTAACTACACGACACAGATTGTGTCACGAATTTATAAATTGTTATTGAGTAAAATATAATGTATGTATTTGTTGTCCGTTTCAGTATTAAAATTTGATTTATTTTAGATATAGCCCCATTGACCATATTATTAACCTCGATGTTAATCATAGGGTTCCTGGATAAGAATCTAGACGATGATATGATTGTTTCACAGCATGTTCTCCCTTCGGAGCATTTTCTTTCGACCCAAGGTTAGTTCTTCTAAATGATATCATGTACTATACGAACTTAAAAATCATCTGAAGTGGTTCTTAATTGAAACTAGTCAATATATTATCGCATGCGGTTGGTTTATGATCTACATGACACACTCAACATCAGGACAACATTAATGACTATTACAGCTGGTGTTGGTTAAGTCATTTTTTTCAAATAATAACATTGGTAACAGCGTGCCTTTTGTTGTTAACTAACAAAAGATGTACAGAAATACTCTGATTGAATGTTTATTTATCTTAAATTAGGTTTATTGGCAACAATTATTAGATGTCGAGTCATTTGTTGTAGTAGTTAATTTTAAATGCTTTGCTGTAAGTTTCTGTCACTTTTTAAGTACCCAAAAATTCCTTCTCAGAAGTCAGATTATCCGCTTGCAAGATTCTTCTACGCAGATCTTGAACTTAGGAGAATTACAAACGACCTCGATAGCTTTGATGGGAACAAAGAACCACAGCGGTAAGAAGGCCAACAGGTTTTATCTTTTTTTTAGCCACTTTTTAGCTTGTATTTCATTCTTTTGAGATCTACGTATAGTATAATATATGATGATTTTAAATATCGATATTGTATCGATGATTGATCGAGTATTTAAAACGCAGAATCATAATTTCCCCCAAAACCGCAGATGTCAGAAACTGATAGAGAAACTGAGAAAGACACAACAGAGGGTAATGGAGGTCCTATGGACCATAGTTAGGACATGTGTACTGGAGGAGACAAGGGCATCTCGTCAATATAGGTGATTAATAGATTAATAGAATAATAATATTAATAGATTAATAGATTAATAGATTAATAGATTATTAGATTAATAGATTAATAGATTAATAGATTAATAGAATAATAGATTAATAGATTAATAGATTAATAGATTAATAGATGTTGTTAGAAATTTCAATACTCATTCCGTTCTTCTGAATCTATCTTCATCATGCCAATTGTGCCAATTGTTTGGAGTATAAACATTCTGTATAGTGAACGTTTCAAATTCTTGGCAATGTACGTGATATCCAATGTCTATAATAACAGTCCTTCTGTTTCACGCTAATCTACAGCTCTTTATTATGAAGATCAAAACAGACACTTCTCACTAACCAATTATCAGCACATTGTGTTCTCAGATTAGATACTGCATGTATTGTGACATTGTGTGTATTGTGTATTATTATAACTGTGTGTGTGTGAGCTAATAATAGATCTGATCTTCCGAGCTTCCTACCTTGTCTGCTACTCCCGCTTATTGTTTCTCAATACTCATCAGTTACTCTTACTCACAATTCGGAAACTAGACATAAGCGATCGCGATGAGCATTGTACGGTCGGAAGTTTATTAAGAGCAGCGGTCTACAGGATATGATGTTGATTGTGTATAATTCGTTATTATTATATTACAGTATGTTCACAATGTATTCAACTTTATCTATGAAAATAAGAACAATCAATCCTTAAAAATTTGATCTAAAAACCTTCTAGTGTCTACTTTATTGTAAGCACATAAAATACTTTAAACAACCTGGAAGAGCCACTGCTATTTTCAGATCAGTAGAGTTATGGCCACTGGTGTTTCCAATCTAGTTAGGGTAATATTAGGTTGATTTAAATGAGAAATATGTAAAATGTGAAATTATTGTGTAGAGCTGAAGAATGTGAAATAACAGTGTAGCTGTAGAATGTGAGATTATCTCAACTCTTATTGACAACGTAAGTATCCTCTGCATGATATCTTGCTAAGGATAATACGTAGTAACCGCTAACTGTTACTCCGGCTACACTCCGATACAACCTGTACAAGTTCTTGCATGTTGCCTCATCCTCACTTTCAATTGTGATACTATATAATAAAGGGTTACTGTCTAAAGGTAAGGTCTCTCCAGCGTCCAGACACTAATCATTGATCTTCTCTGGTGCTAACAGCTTTACAGGTTATTATTCAGGCTACATCACGCTCCTGTTAGATAACAGTAACACTAACATTTGCATTATGTAGGAGCTGTGAGCTATTCTGGCTTCATTATAATGCCGGTAATCACCAATTATGAGCAAACTTCTGATTCTATTCCTGTGACAGTATAATAATGTAGTGATCAGTTCCGTATTAGACAGTTTCCGACGAAGATCACAACGGCTAGTTTTGTAGTGATCAGGGGAGGGTCGGTGATTATCATGCTTAAATTTAGTAATTACTAATTAATATCTAATCATCCTTCCTGGTAGTGGGGTATCTGAAGAGGATTAGGGCTTATGCCAGGGAAGATCGGGCTAATTTTTAATGATGAGTTGTAGATTTGTATCTTTACAGCACTGTAGTTCGAGCGTCTTTTTTAATTAACCATAATTAACCGCATGAATGCTATCAATATGCAGTAAAACTGCAGTGTAACATGAGAGGTTCTCTACTAAGAGATCATCATGGGAATGTTTAATGATTCTATCCGGACAGCATTATTGAGTAATTGTTTTAACAAAGATTTGTGAAAATGATAATTTAGTGCAGCGTGTGTATACATATTACATAATGAGTCAGAATAATCAGATGCAGGAATAATCTACTGTTCATTGTTTCAACAAAGGATTTGACCATAATATTTGTAAGACTGAAATACATAAAATTACTGATATTGTGATATATATGAACTTAGTTATTATATTTGCATATAATCTATTTTAAAGTAAATCATAAGCTATCCACATATATATTTTATAGTGGTTTATATCTTTAGTCTAGTTACTTTAGCATGTATATTATCTTGTATTAGGGATTATGTGACTAACGTTATAAATTATTTTAGAAGTGTCATGATAAGGGGACTGTCGTGCACGTAAAGGATTCTTAACCTTACTTTCCAGTCAGAAGTCTGGAAGTCATGAGCTTCTGATCAAAACTATGCCTTTTATTGCGTTATATTTACATAATCACATTTTCTTCGCGAACCCTTCATTCTCTGCTCACAAAATCTGGTGATGAGCAAATAGTTGAGGTACAATTAGTTGGTGATTTAGAGAAACACGCAAGGTTCATTATCTAATATCTTGGTGACCCTTAATGATTGGCACTGTATAATGATAATATTATGTACATCTCAGTGTAATGGAATGTGAGCTAACTAAGATATATTGACCAATACTCATTGAATGATGAGGAGGTTTGAAACCCATGGTACAGGCTTTCGCAGCTTGAATACCAAGAACGCTCTTTGTGGAGGAAATAATTGTATACCAGCTAGACGATTATAGAGTTTAATAGTAACAAAAAATGTATATTTGTAAAAAATACAGGTAAAAGGATAGCGATAAACTGCAATTTGGTTAAAACCATAAGCATCGAAAGACGAGTACGTATTTAAATGTGTTTTTTGCTATTTCTAACATCAGTGATATGATATATCCTTGTGTTTGACCCGGTTTCTCAACAACTCCTACCCTCAGAGATAAGTTCCCTGAAGAGCTAAGAGGAGATCACATGTCAGGGCCTCTGTGGTTCGGGGCCGAGTGTCTGGCAGCCGGTAGCAGTGTTCTCAACCACGAGAGCGAAAGCGACGAACTCCGGCCTCTTGGTGAGTGTAGTTTTAAACACAAGGAAATGTTTTGTTCGGGTCAATGTTTTACGATGCACTTGAAAGCTGATATGGTGGAAGAGCCTTCGCTTCGTATTTCAATTCTGGACCGCACACTTTTTATAGTTTATACTATTATTATGGAATATATTTTAAAATAAAAGAAAAATGTACGTGTTGTTGACAAGCCTTAGTTCGAAGTTCGAATTTTTATTAAAGACCGCCACCTAGCCCTCGAAACCTATATTTTCCTGGTACGACAGATTTTTTAGACAAATGAACAAGTTCATTTGTCACGAAAATTCGGAGCTGAAATAAATTGGCTAGATTCCATTTTTTCAATCGCTTGACATGAACTATTGACGAAACATTACTGATAAGCGCTGCGGTACCTACCTGGATCCCGCCCTGTCTCTTTTCCATACCTCTATCTTTCTCCCCTCTTATTTCACTCCTATCTTCTTCCAACCTGTTTCCTATCTCCTATCTTTTAAATTCCACCTGCCTCCCTCTCCTGTTCCTCGCACCCCCTCACTCCTCAGTTCTTTAGTACCACCTCCCACCCTCTACCAGAACATCACGCTAACTGTACCCTCACGTACGCAGCCGTAAACCTGACCCTGAACACAACCAGAATATGACTTTAGATCCTCTGAAACTGGACCGGAAAGTAGATCGAAACAGCCAGACCGAACTGTCCAGATTACCATTTTGATATGCACATTTTGCAGCATTGAGGGAGACTGAGGTTACATATTTCGTAGGTAGACCTGAATTTGATGTAATTTACCGGTACTGTTGAAGGATGGGGAACTCGTGATCTTGAAAACGAGGTGGTAGCCCAGGAATTTCAATAATGATTAGATTGTCACCTCCAAATTAGAGCGCTCTTAATAATATCTCCCTAAAATTACTTCGTGACAATGTTTTATTATTACCCTTCAAAGAACGGAGATATTTTTATTCCTTTCTAATAAATCTTTCGAAAGGATTTTTAAGACGGACCATGTCTAGTTGAACAAGAGATTAAGAATAACGTCTGAAACGCGTGTATTTCAATGGTATGACCAGTTAAAATGAGAAGGGTTGCTATAACACTATGGCACAGATTTGAGAACGTTCCACAAATCACATTAAAACTTTTTATCGGCATGTGTCACTCAACCCCGCAGTTCCGATGTCACAAATAGAATTCAATTCGCGTGTCACAACGTGTGATACAAAGCTCACGTTCAAGCCTACCTTATAATCCCACCAGTCAAAACTGGGGTTATATTGGTTGAAGTAACCTAATTGCAGAACCTTGGTACAGACGGGAACCAATTGAAGTGCCACTTTTTACCTTCTCCATCCGACAATTGTGATATATCCTAGAATTGTAGAGCAGCGGTGCTGGAGTAAAACGTGGTGCCAACCACCCATAACTCAGCTACTGATGATGTCTTAATATGGTGTTTAATGGATAACTGTGAATACCTCAAACGTTTATTTGAGCCTGTCAATTACTGTAACTTGAAGTGAAATGAAATTGTACTAAGGTACAGATAGGCACTTTTCTGCGGAAAGTTATTATATTCTGCACCGGAAATGCAATTTTAGGGAATCTTCCTAAAGGCAGTGGTCTAGTCAAAAATCAAAGCGCTGGAGGACTTCTAAAAGTGTCTTGGGAAATATTAAAATATGTTTGGCTCTATGCCCCGTCTTGTAGCATTCCCGAACAAAATGTTTTTCTAAAAGTTTTTATTACATTCTTCGTCACATGACCAAGCGTTACGTCACGCTCGATAAATTATTACGTCACGTGATTTGACTTAATGTTACGTCACGTGAGGTTGTCAAACGTCACCAGGTGATGATGATATCCTGTCCCCAGCTCGGCACATCACCAAGGTGATGGAGTCAGTGAGGACAAAGCTGAGGGAACAATGTTTACGCGACGTGGCTTGCTATCCTGAAGAGCTTGTGGATACTCTCCGCTGGTTTGACTACAACTGGGCAGAATTTGAGTTCAGGTACGTGGGTGACTAGAATTTTTATTTATATTGTCATTGTTATGATTGATCGACTATCACAGTATCAGTCATTGACTATTAGTATTACTTTGTGAAGCGATCCAAATTCACTTCACAGAAAACGGTAGTGACACAGAGGCAACATTGCGGTGAGTGCGTAATATAATCGCACTATTGACCTAATACCGCATTTTCCGCACCATCAGCCGTTATTCTTTCTATAATCAGCTCTATTAGTAGAGTCAAATACGTTTTTTTTCGGACAAAATTCGCAACAAAGCGATTTTAACGGGATATGGTCGGGATAGGTCCCAGGAATCATTCCAGAGAAGTCCCAAAATTTCTGACTTGAGCAAAATCCACAATTACCACTTTTTTACCACCTTTTTACCACTTTGGTTTTCCGTAAATAAGTCACGTTCTGAATATCCTAGAAGATTCTAGTTTAAAACAGTGTGTTTAGAAAACAACGTCGAGAACAACTTTTTCTTAAACAACTTTTTCAAAAATAAATTATTTAATTAATTAATTAAATAATTAGTAAATTTTCAAATATTTCAAAATTATATTTTGATAAAAAATGTTCACAATTACATTACACGTACAATGAACTAATTTTTATAAAACTTTTGAAAATTTTCACTTTCAATATTTTGGACTTGTAAAATTTTCGAAATTTGTAAAGAATAACCACTATTTACCACTTTTTACCACATTGGATCTCCGCTAATAAAACGACTTCTGAATGTCGTAGAAGGTTCTAGATTGAACCTATGTGTTTATAACATAAGAGAGAACAACTTTTATTCGCCAACCTTTGGATAGAATAATTAATCAGTTAATCAATTATTTAACAAATATTCAAAAATTATAAAAATGATTTTCGATCAAAATATTTTAAAATTGCATAACACGAATAATTAACAATTTTTAATTTATATGTACGTGTTATCGCTATGCACAATGAGAACAGCTAACAATAACTATATTGTTTAAGACCGAGACCGGTATATTGATGAATGATGATGACTGATGAGTCATGGGGGTAGTTTAACACATACCGTTCCTTACAGTTCATTTCCACACTGGCTCATTGTTATTGTACTTGAATTGTTGTTCTCACACACACCATGTTCTTTCCACCCTTGCTGAGGTTGCACTACGGTTGTCACACACGGTAAGTTGTCACACCGTGATTTTCTATAAATAGAAGTGGAGTGGAGACGGCTTGGTTAGGAGTCATACCAGATCCACCGTCGGAGAGCCGCCCCTGGAACCAGATCTCAAGACAGTACTAAACAAATTTTACAAATTGGAGAGAGGCTACAGGTTGAGATTGTTAGGATTCATGATCCGTGGTGGCTAGTTTGCAAGGCTTAAGCTTAAACTATAAAATCATTATAGAGTTAGAAAATCGATGCGCAGTAAAGATAAGCTAAATGATAGAGATAAGCTAATGGTTTGAGATTTGCTAAATGAATAAAGATAAGCTAAATGATTTTTTAAAGACACGTACGCTAAAAGTAAATGACATGTATTGGGCATTACAATAGTCCAGCTTTGAGATGATGTTTGATCAGCATTCAGCTTAAGTTTCTCATCTAGATACTTCCTGATAGTTCTTAGATTATTCATGGTTTCAGGTCCAGCAGCAGTTCTTCTTAAAGTTTCTTTGTCGATAAATTCATCAAGTAACACTCCAAGACTCTTCCAGCCGTCATTTTTTGCATTATGTCGGTGTAATGGTGGTGCCACCAAACTTTATTGTTACTTCCAGGTCAAACTTTTCTGGTGCATAAAAATCCGGAATAAACGGATTGATTTGTATTTAAAGCTGAATATCTTAATGATAGCAACATTATGTTGATAGGTCGAGTCTTATCAATGGAATTTCAAGAAGAATTATCAAAAGGGCTTCTTTGAAATTTTGAAAATTTCACTTCACAGAATATGGTTGAGTGAAGAAATATGGCAGTGATTTTTTTTTGCTTAACTCCTTGGCCATCCGAAATAGTGTTACTTATATCGGCCACATATTTTGTTGGTTAATCTTGTTGAAGATTCTGTAATGTTAATTAAAACGAGTCGCTTTAAATGGATTCAATTATAGTTCTCTCTAAGAAAACATCTGTTTTATTTTCTGAATTTAGACTCAGTGATGACAATGTCCGAATGACGGTTAATAGATAAATCACTTATCGAAATTTCTACGTCCGCCGCGTCATACTGTGTTAAATATCGAGATTTACGTTAAAATTTGACGACAAATTTTGTTTCAAACAAAATATATTTAACCGTAAAATAGTTGAACGAAACCGGAGCAAATAGATATGGTAAAGCGTGTGAAATACGAGTTTTAAAATGACAAAGAAACGACTCGAGGTATACAGGAGATAAATGATTCAATAGTCACCATTACAAAGGTTTTACAAGGTATGCAGAGAAATTACGTCATGATTGGAATAGCTTTATCAAATACTCAATTAGTAAGTTTTTATCAGCTGTCGGTATCCGGGAATCCACGGTGAAATTTTATAATTAGAAACGTGTCCTCTTGCTTCTACAGCTATCAACGTCTGGTTAACGGCCACACACTTTCCTCTGAGTTCTAACGCTTTGTTTTACTCAATATTACACAGTTTGTCTGTTGTTTTGTTACCGGCTCCCTCATGGTATTGACATAACTCAATAAAACATTGTTGTATCATGTAATAAAGTAGGATAAAGATAGTGGACGGGTAGACTTTATACACCTTATAATAACCTTTTCTAAAGTTGTTCACACACTCCGCTCGTTACAGTTCAGTTTTACACTGGCGTAGTTTGTTGTTTTACTTGAATTGTTGCTGTCACATATATATACATGATGCTTCCACGCTGGCACTTATTTTACTCCTTCGGTCTTCAACCACGGTAAGTGTTCGGTTTCCGACCGTGTGTTTTCTATTAATAGATTTACAGTGTAGATAGGCGTATGTAGCTTAGCGTAAAAATCGAGACTAATCATCATCACGGTAAATCGTGACAGAGACTATCGTGGGGTTATCAGCTGTTTTCTAATGAAATATGGTCTTCAAGCTCCTGTTTCGTACGCTACATTCCCGGTTTGTGAAGAATGTCAAATTGTCACGTACGTTTCATGTGGACAAAGTGAGGTCAAAATTTAATTAATCATCGATAAATTTGGTCGAGCTTTATCTTTCAAAGCTACAGTATGCAATATTGTCAACTGTTAAACAAGAAAAAATAAGAGTGATGCAAGAAAACCGGAATAAACGGATAATTTTGTAAAACGCTGAATATCTAAATGATAACCACATGTTGATAAGTCTTATCGAACGAAGTTCAATTTAAAAAATTATAAAAAGGGCTTCTTTTTAACCGGAACAAAGCGTGATGATATATATTAGAAGAAATCGTCCCACTCAGATCCGAGTGTGGTTCAGCTTTTTCATAATTATGCCGCGTCACTGAATCTGATATAATGTGATGAAAATCAGTGCAGTATAACGGGTTAATATTTAAAGGATTATAACAATATTATATGCGTTTTATTTTCGGACTTTCCTAGTTTTACAATGGATTTGTTTCATGAATTAGTTGAATTCGGTTGTTTCTTCGGGTAAATTATAATCTAAAGGCTATTCGATTGAAAGCTGTTTGAATTGAAGTCATCAAGTTGCTTCTTGCTGTTAAAATATGATGTCAGATATTTGGTTTTAAGTCTTCTGTACTTTCTTGGATATTTCGTTTTTTAAATGCCGGCTATTATAGAGTACGTGTCGCGTATAATAGCCATTATTCAGTCATTATCAGCGATTTGTGTCACTTGTTTTCTCTCTTTGCCCTTGAGGCTTGAGCGTTGTTTTTTTGTTCACTCTTACCGTTAGTTTTGTGTAGAAATTAGTCCAATCCTTTCTCTCTTTTAAAATCGAAATAACCTGAGCTTACAAAGATCATCACCGAGCGTGTTAGGGAAACATTTTTGTTGTGCCTTACCCTAGGGAAATTCACCTTAAATTGAAAATTGAGTAGTTTTACTCATCAGACTTCCTGACTCTAGTGATACTGATAATCATGTAACACGACTGCTGCAAGTTGGATTTTGCAAACACTCAATTTATGTAATGTATAAATACCAGAATTATACAATACCAACATAAAACAGAACTTAACTTAAACTTACTATCTCTTAAACTTACTATGCCTTTCTTTTTGATCAACAATTTTTTTGACATCCTATGCTCACCTAAGCCAACTGTGGTACTCCTTTTTTAAATGGCTCAATGCTCAAAATTGCTCATCAATCATCTTATTTGATCCTTACTTACTTGTACTTGGAAAGGTCTCCTCCTAGTCGTTGGAGTGGCCTGCACCACATAGTAACTCCTTTCTCCGGTGTATTAGACCTCTCCAGTGAACCCTGTCTGTAGCTTGTTGTTCTGCATCTTCTATCGTGATGTTATCGACACCTGTGAAGATTGCTGCATCCTCCCGGACACATGACAACCAGTTTTTCCTTGGTCTACCTCTTGACCTTTTACCATGCTTTGGGATCCAGTGCAGAAGATAGTTTGGTATTCTTTCTTCTGGCATCCTCACCACATGGCCAAACCATCGGAGTCTAGCTGCTCGTACGAAAGTATCAACAGGGGCGATGTTAGCCCGCTTAAGTACATCAGCATTAGATACATGATAAAACCATTTGATTTTCAGGATTCTCCTCAGACATCTATGATGGAACACCTCAAATCTTTTCATCTGCGTCTGTGTGGTATTCCATACCTCACTTCCATAGAGCAGTATAGTGAGAACAGCCGCTTTGTAAATCCTGATTTTTGTTGGAGTCTTGATGCTGCGACTGTACCATATACTGCTAAGCTGATAGAATGCCCCAGAGGCCTTTTGAATTCGAGCTGATAGTTCTTTGTCAATTGTTCCATTTGCACTGATGATTGCACCCAAGTAAGTGAAATTGCTGACCTGCTGTATTGGGAGACCTTCCACATTGATGTCCATAGTGTCGTCTTTAGAATACGGCCTCTGCGATGCACTTTTGCTGACAACCATGCTCTGTGTTTTTCCAGCATTAATCTTTAGACCCGCATAGGCACTGTATTTGCAGAGGAGGTCAGTGGTTTCCTGCAGCCCCTCTTTTGAGTTATCTAACATGGCCATGTCATCAGCGTAATCAGTGTCCAAGAGATGTTTCTCTTCTACCCCGGGGGCTGGCAGCTGTAATAAAGCCCCCTTGCTAATGACCTTGTTTAGTTCCATAAGGTATGCCGAAAAATTCAAACAAAAGTTGAATACTGGTGGTCCCTGTATATCACCTTGCCCAGTACCCGAGTTGACATCAAACCAACCTGTAACCTCTCCATTGACCCTAACAGCACTAACTGTGTGAGTGAAGAACGCCTTCATAATTCTAATGTACTTGTCAGGTAAGCCGTAGTGCTGCATACTTCTCCAAATGAACTGCCTGTCAATCGAATCAAAAGCTGCTTTGAAATCAACAAAATTAATATACAGAGGGATATTATACTCAATGCATTGGTGTATAATACAGCGGAGTGAATAAACCTGGTCAATACATGAGCGATTCTGTCTAAAACCACTTTGATTCTCCCGGAGGAATTTTTCCATGCCATTGCTAAGTCTCCGCAGGAGTATCATTTGCAGGAGCTTCGAGGCTGTGGATCTTAATGTAATGCCTCTGTTGTTAGCGCAATGAGAGGTGTCACCTTTCTTTCCAACGATGATGATAACACCTTTGGACCAATCCTCAGGAATCTTCTCATCTTCCCACACTTTCTTGAACAACACAACTAGTTGATCGACCAACCCATCCTGTCCATACTTAAGTTGCTCGTTGGTGATACCTTATTTGATCCACAGAAATGTAATTATAAAATCATGATCCACGATGTGATCTCCTCATCAATCATGTATGGCAATTTAAACTGAACTCTACAAAATAGTCGAACTGCCCTACGTGTTTATTACAGAACCACATGGCAGCCCGAAGATGTGATTTACAATATGATGTTTTCAACAGATGTTTCGTAGTACAAGGCTAGTACGTGTCTCCCGCTCTGTTGTCGGTTCTTTGTTGTTGAGTGGCTGAGCGTGTGTGTGGTACACTGTATTGTGTGTCGTATATCGTCCACGAAATACGGCCCTGTCTCTCGTTGTCGTAGGAAATATTTTGTATTATACAGTATTGTCAGTTATATAGTATGTAGATTGTAAGCTGACAAGTCGGAGACGCTCGCATATTATGTAGGACTCGAGAATAACCAGATGCGGCAAAAATGAATCACTTTTTCCCTTTCAAATACTGCTCTTAAAAATGTTGATGATACTGAAAATGAGTGTGTCCTACTTAATTGTAGAATTTGTTCCCAGAAAAAACCAGGCACTTTGTGATTCTGTGTTCCGCGGATTCTTTGATTCCAGCTGAGTTCGGAACTCAGTGAGTTCCTCTTTTGAAAATTTAAATATTTAACATTAAGCGTTCCTTCTGGCCAAATATAATTTTACATAAGATTATGGCTTGACTCTATCAGCTTGTTTGAAGGTTTGTAACACACGATGTGTTAGTGTGTAAGTTTTAATCTAGTGAACGTGACTCGCTATCAGCTAAATAATCGCGACTGATAACAGTCGTATTAACAAAACCAGTTTAACCAGTTTAACCTGTTTAACCTGTTTTCCTAATCTTATAGTGCATGATTATCAGAAAATGATTACAACTTTACAAATCCGAAAGGACGGTGCTCAGCTGTGCTTGTAGTATAAGCTTTATTTAGGACAGTTTTCTACAATATTTAATTTTGTGTGATTTTTGATAGAATATAAAAATTACGTCATATATTTTGAGTAAACATTGGTTGACACTTCGGGCCAGTCCCCAACAAAAATTGACCCCCGTGTTCCATCGCAAAACAGCCACCCTACCGGCTCATGTTCCTCAGAAGTTTCTTATCAGCTGGAAACTGGAACCACGCACGTCGCACGTTAAACCATACTACTACTTCCACGAGAAGTATATGGAATTCATCAGAGCTCGATAAGATGACGTTTTAACTGCAGTGCAAGAATTTTTTCCAAACAGGAAAGACTTTTCCAGTTTTTGTATTTTTGATAAGATATAACCGGTTGAAAGTTTTCTTTCCAAGTCGTCTCGTGGTCTAATATGAGGCTGATAATGAAAAAGACTCATCGAGAAAAATGAAACCATCACGGCATCAAGCTAATAAGACTGATTAGGTAATTAAGATTACCTGGGAATCTTTATCTTAAACACTGATTATTTATTATATTAGATGTAATCACATTCTAGACCAGCTCCTGTTTCACTAATCATGTGCGTAGTCTGGCGTTGAAACCTGTTTGAGGGCCCTTTATCTTAAAGACCAAGGTTTAAAAAGGTCTGAGATAATGCTTCAGTACCTGATGTTTCTTATTTTTAGCACTTATAAAAGGTCCTGCCTTTGATTTCCATCTTATTAATTACTAGTCGTGTCAGTGTTGCCGGTTTAGAGTGTACACTCTTTTCTTTAGAAACATTTTAGCATCTTCTTTTCCGCTGTTTATTGATTGAAGCTAAGTTCTGATATTAATCATCTTACTGTCTACATTGTACATCGAAACTATTTCACGCGGACATTTGATATTTCTAAAAACAGCACAGTATTGTGTTCTTTACTATTTTATCTTGCTAAAATTGTAAAGCTAAGTTTCAATACAACATTACAATAGATGATACGAACAGTAAAAGTATGACGTAGTTTGTTATAACAGTAGATGATGTGTTCTCGTTCTGAATCCTTTACAATGTAAGCTTTTGTTAACAAACCGCCCTTATTATCTCCTCAAATGTCTAGTTTAGTCAAAATTAGTGCTCACCGTGTTCTGGAGAATGTTACGTGTACAGAACGGCTGTAAAAAGTTTGCCAATAAAAGCTCGACATTTAAGGGGCCAGCTTTTCTCGACTGTGATAGGCATTTTAAGATTTATTGATAAAGGAAACATGATTTATCAAGATGTATACCGGTTTTACAAGAGTTAGAATTACCGTTACTAAATAATTGGTGTACATTAGAAAAGAAATCACCATGATTGCTCCACCTGGTTTGGGACAGCACGTCGGGTTAGCTCAGTGTATTGCGAACGTTATTGCGAAGAAAACGGGTCGGAGGAATTGTTCCAATCATCATTCCAGGTACTGGATCATGAACATGAGGCGTGTAGGTCATTCCAAAGAGTCCCTGCTCTGCGCCAGTCATGTAGTACATGTTGAGCAATGAGTATAACTGGCTTGTGACTGGCTCGTGACTGGCATTTGGTCTGTGACTTCCTTGAATGACTACACGTGCCATTTAGTTTACCACTTGGTTTACCGGATGGTATATCATGTGTATAACTGCCATTTTCCTACTTAACGTAAGATTAAGTATCTGATTACTGTTACGATACATTTTATGATTTTTGGTGTTTACTCTTTGGCTATACTTTTTAAACATACTTGAACGAGCACAAAAAAGATTGTCTCGTTTTTTAAACGGTGTTTTCAGTTATCGTTTTGATAAGCTTGTTTGATGAGCTTGCTTAAATTCAGCAATTAGGAGCTTTTACAATTCAGGTACACATTATTTAAGCTATCAAAATATAATTCAGCAAGCTTAGATGTAGCTTTTTAATAGAATTATACCGTAGATAAAATACCCATTTCTCCTGTTCAAATATACAAATATTGTACAAAACAAGTAGGCAATTCTTGTCACCATGTTTTCCAGAACCTTCTCGATTCACACCGTGCCGGAGAATCAGCCTCATCGCCTCCCTCCTCAACAAGACGAACGGCATCCTCGCAGTAAACACGTTCGAATAAACTGATAGTGTGTCAGTTTGTGGCATGTACCCAGAACAAGTGGCTCCAATTGTTGGATCTGTCATGTGATCCGAGAATGACCGTTCAAACTTCACACTTTGGAGTTTTCCGACCTATTTTAGAGTTTTGATCACGTGACAGTCGACAATTAGAGCCTTCTGTTTGGGATACACGTGAGGACCAACACTATATCTCCGTACAATACACATCCATTTTACACGATTAAAGTTTTGTGCTTTATGTCGGCTTTTACCACTTACATAAAACGAGGAATCGTTTAGATTCAGACCTTTGAGGTGCCATGTCAAAAACTGCTTGATCTATCGTGCTTTTTGGGAAAGATAAAGCAATTCAGTATAATATAATGGGTGCATTTTTCACTTCAAAAGGCATCCCATTGCATTCTATTTTTACAACTGCCATAAGTATTTAAAATACGTTGCAAAATTTTTCACATCATTTCAATTCATTTTTTACGGAGATATAGTACTCACAATGTCAGACTATGAACGAGAGTCCAAGTGATATGATCTTCTTGCCAAGAGTGATCTGATCCGATGTGTGATCGAATGCGAGTGTGAGCGAGTGCGACTGTGCGAGTGTGGTTGAGTGTGTCTCTATTTCATTGCAATGTTCGTGTCCCTAACTGTGTCTTTATTTCAGTTACGTGTCAAGAATGTGTCCAGTAAAGAGTACGGAGGAGCTTTATCAGCAGCACATAACTACCATTCTCTTCTCCGAAACAACCGCCGAGTAAGTTGTAATAAATATCAAAAACTCCGTGAACTATTATACATGCTATCTCAAGATGGATATGACATTTCCCTAACCAGAGTGCCATATTGTTTCGCGCAATTTCCTTACTCCGGTAAATTTTCTCGCGTCAAAACGGTTCAGTGAAACTGTTTCAAATGACAATAAATTCGGCAATGTGTTGGATATTTATATAATGCTGCTCCCTATTTCACTCGATTTATTACCTGAAACTGGTTAAATCCCCCCAGAATCTTTTTGGCAAATGGTAAAGTCGACAGGTCTGCAAAGACGCCGAGCCTACATCTAAACCCAAATTTTACCTCTACGTCATTATCAAGGCTTTTATGAAACCCCAATCCGCCATAAATTCCCCGAAAAACGTTTGCTCACCGCACAAAATATCTACCGTTATCAATTTCCATGGTATAAAAGGAGATATTGATAAATTGATTAAATTCCTTGAACCAAAGTCGACAGAAAGTGCTGGAAGTAGTTATGTACCACGCTGACTGATTACCTTTCATATTGTCAGATTGATAACCTTTGAACATTTCCCGGTTATGTCAGCAACTGTCTCCTAATCTATACGTGATCTCAGGGCGTTAAAAGAAAGGGTGATCACCGAAGAGCAGATGAGCTCCTACGATCCGGTGCTAATGTTGGCTATTCCCCGTCTTTCTATACTGTGGTAATTATTGTCTAATCAACCCATCTAGACTAAACGTAAAGTTCCTTCCTAATTTGTTCTTATTATCCGTTGAAGAAACTGATCTGAGGAGCGCGTCCGTCTATAAACTAAAGGTCTAAACAACTTAACATATAACTAATAAATCAACAACGCCGTCTCCTATTCTTTAACACATTAAGTAAATCTTTATTTAACTACAGTGCCCGTCTAGATAGTACAATGTAATGTCGTCTATAAAACCTTTGATATTCGGACCACCAACACTACTTCCGAGCAACAAGTCTCAGTATCCCTCTCTACTCCGAATTGAACTTTTAAACTCACAGATTGTGAGGCGACCTGATCTCTCAGCTCCTGGATTGCCGTGGCACGTGCATGGTCAGGGCTCTATTCATAACAAAACATTGGGTAGAACAGAGTGTACGCATAATTTGAACAATGAGGGTGTCTCCGTAACAGAGTGTTCATTGTCGTCCTGTTATAATCGTGATCTCTACAAAGCACAGTGTAAGCTCAAAAGAACTGATCTTTGTCTCCATTGGATTAAGCGAGCTGGCTTTATCCTCCTCTAAATAGCATTAGCAGTAATACAATAATGTGCATCATGTTAACTGGTATCGCTAACTGCAGGGTTAGTGCGGTAAATGACCTGTCCAACCCGGCATCTCTTCTCATCAAATACCGGATCTTTCTGTCACATCTCTTTGTAAATTGTAACACTAATCATGTTTCCAGGCCTGTAATCTGAATTAACATTATAACATTAGCTAGTGTACGAGGCCGTCTATCATGAGTCCTGAAAGCTCTTTCTTTGAGTTTCGGAAATCTCACGCAAGTGAGAGCTATATTTCAAATATATTTCAAAGCGCTTAGAAACCAAAGCGATTAGAAACATGGAAGCATCCGTACACAATCTATGTGGAAATGGTAATCTGAGAGGAAACGATAATAATGCATGTTTCATCCGAAACAAACCACTTATCTCTCGCTAGGTCTATATCTTCTATGTTTCTCAATACGTACGCCCTGACACGCCCTTTTTCAGCGGTCTCGAACAAGAGGACGGTTTATTGGACTTGAACAAAGATGCAAGTTGTCTTCCTGTTTACTTCAGGCCTCATGTTACTAGCCTCATTGAAATCAAGTGAGTTTAGTTCTAGTCTATGGAAAGATTTCTCTTGCTGCATTAAATAATATCCAGGAATGAATAATTAAATGTTTAACCTTTGAGCCTTACTTTTATAAGGAATTCGAGCCCTAAGAGCCATCAAAGGCTAATTTGTGTATCAATTTATTTAAAATCCCAAATATCAGTTCTGCCGAATAACGAACGTCCTATTTTCAGACATTCCCTAAGTAACCTTACTCCAGAGGAGGTGACCGTCCTTAAACAGTGCCTTGCTTCCTCTCTCGACCCCCTTCAAACAGAAACAGAAACAGATAATGAAACAGAAACAGATATTGAAACAGAGGAGGACATTGAAACAGAAACAGATACCCAGACCCCTTCCCAAAGACGCGACGTCCTCCAGTGTCTTTACCTTTCAGTCAGCAGCATTGCAGATCAGGTACACCAGTTTACAGACCGACGAATTTCCCGTTTGAAATGTGACGACACAAGTCTAATACCAAATCTTCCGCCACTTATCTTTAAAACTGATTTCTGTCGCAAGACTAATGACTAGCAAAACGGTTTGGTGCCGATGGCCCCCCTTAATTTCCTCCTCTAGTTTATTTAAGTGATATTATCACGGTTTAACTTGATTACCTAGACCTCAGAACCTCCTCTCCCTTGAACATGACATGATGTTTTCAATGATTTGATAAAACCAAATTCCTTTACAGATGATAACAAACCACGCCAAAGATTTGAGACAGATGCTCCATCACACCTTCAAGATGAACCAGCCTTTCGAACTTTCTGAAGACGTCATCATGGTATTTAATGGAATTATTCCTCACGTTTTTCTTGATCATGATATGCTGTGAATTAGTACTTTAGAATAATCTGTAAAGTTATAATTGGCGGTTGGATGTTGTCACATCGTTGTCTGGGTATAAACGTTTTAACCGCAAATATTACTGATTACGTGCTTATGAGTTTTTGAGGTTAAAAACAGTTTTGCCTGTCTCATTGGTTGCCTCATTCGCAAACAAAATGTAATGTGCTCGCTCACATCGAGCACAGAGATTTGGCAACTAATACAACCATCATTCCATCGGTGATTTTAGGAGAGTATCAGCATCAATTGACGTAAAATACTCGCAGTAATAACGTAACAGCTGTAGCAAAACGTCAATGTTATTTCTAGAAATGTCAACAACAAAAATGTGTACCATCATATTCACTGTAGACAATCGAGGGCAAACATCTTGCCCCATTCAGACTGGATAAATAAAATGCCAATCATGAAGGTAATCAGTGGCTGTTAACAATAAGTTTCAGTAAAATAAATAACTTGTTAAATTAACTGTAGCAATTCACCAATCACCATGTTAAAACTAATAACAATATCCTCATCTCTCCAGGTAGCTAAAACAGACGAGATCAGACAGATAACGAGTACATGTATCGAGCCCAGCACTTCTGAGGAAATCACAGCAGAGTCCCGACACCACGTGCTCGGACCGGATAGTTGTGGTGAGGATGGCAATATTCCTCAGATCAGACAAGGTGGGTGGTTGTTCGGGTTTCCGCAGGGTTTTATACTGGGGCCGGGGTTCCACAGGGTTTTATATTGGGGGCAGGGGTTTCACAGGTTTTATACTGGGGCCGGGGTTTATGGAATATATATACCGTTCGCATTGTATATTAGGGCCTTTATCCAAGTACTAGAATGATCTCTGTTAGGAAAAACATTTACTGTAGGAAGTTTGAGTAGAATCACGTTGTTTTGCACTATACAGTGTAGCGGGTTCTTTATTTAGTAGATCTGTGTGTCTGATAATGTAAGGTATGTAAACTTTGCATCGAAACTTTACTGCATAATGACCACATTACAATGATTATACTTCAAAGTGTGTCTATCATAGTAAAGAATTTCGCACCTACTAAAACTGTTAAAAATTTGAAATTTGTGTGGGCTTCACAAACTTATAAATATTGTCTCTTTTTCAACCTTAAACAATCTACTGGCGCTCGAATAAAATTATATGAGAGCCTTTAATTAAAAAATCATGGATGCAAATTTCTGGTATAATTATATAAATCGGGCAATTTTGTGATTACAAACACCACCAGGAGCTGATTTTAGCTTTTATTTGGCATGATTATCGTCAAGATTATGATCTATTTGCCTTTAAATATGATGAGTCTTGGAGAAGTTCATGAAATTTCACGATATTATTAATATGTAACAAACGAATGTAAAACAAAGTGTGAATCACATTCGGTTAAATCACTTAACGAATAACGATATCAATATTTCAGTTAACAGTTTTAATGTTTTCATTTGTATGTGTGTATAAGATAATGCACTGAACTTACACTATACATTTCCGGCCAAATACTGCAAAATAGCGCAAATTATTGCGAGTTCATGTTATTGTAGACACTTTATGAAGAGGTAGGCCCGTAGGTCACAGATTTCTAAGCAAGATATCGTGTCTGTGATTTTGGCAACGTGCTCAGATGTTATTTATTAGTCGACGTCATCTCAACATCACGTAATTTGGTTGACTACTGTTTGGCACCTCTTTTAACACTTAGAGCTGACAAATTTGCACTGAAATCATTTACATTAAAGAAACTTGGCTCAATCCGGATGTTATAAAAAGACCATTTAACATCACTAACTCTCACAAATATTGGCTAATATAAGAAACTATACCCGTTTCTTAACGTATTATACTCTTAAATATGAGCTCATAATTGTTATTTCTGTAAAATAGCAAGCATTACTGTGATCATGTATTAGAATTAAGATTAAAATAACATTACAAAATTTACAATGTCCGCTGGTAAATTCAGAGCTAGTTTCAATTTGATGACGTACCCAGGACCTTGCGGGACTTGGCCCATGTTAGTCAATGTTTCCTATATTGGGGCGGCCAATTTGTGTGATGCACTACGGTAAATATTAAATAATTATAAACTGTTAATTGGTGGTTTGCGTGTGTAATGGGCCTATCTTACAAATTACAACACACTCATCTGTGCATTATCTCCTTAGTACCGAGTGTAAGTATAATCGGAACAGTGCACGTGTACTGAATCAGCTGGTGAAATAAGGAGCACCTGTATTTAAGGAATGTTTGGAGAAGTGTGGTCAAAGCGACAAAGAGAGCTCAGTTATACTTCCAAGGAGTAATCTGGGGGAATCTCCTTTAGTCATGCTCTAAACCCATTTAGTGACCGGCAAAACGTCTGAATCTTCCTTTTCCTCTTAAAAGATTATGAAGCAATTTCTCCCTTATTAACTATGTACATACCAGAAGAATGACCGCTGTCCAACCACCGGCCTGTTTTCTCCCTCCATCCGACCACTTTTCCCAGGACACGATTTAGCAATTTACAAATCAGCCGCCACCGCGCCAACTCATGTAAAATATGCGTCTAAAAGTAAAATTGTGATTTATCCTGCTTGAAATGAGCTTACCATTAGCAGGGTTGTCAGCACACAATCCACTGTGATCATTATCACCAGGAAAATATTGGGTAGGTCATGGCGGGTTTTGTTAATGCTGCCTTGGATAATTTAAGGAGGGAGAGGGTGATTATCTGATTATGTAATTAGGTAATTAGTTAATTGATTATAAAGTATAGGCTGAGAACTGGGAGCTGATATTGCTTTGATCAGTATGACATGATACCCGCAAGTACATTGATAATGAGTTAATTTTTATAATGTAGATCTACGTATAAAACGGTTAGACTGATCACACAATTGTCCGATTTGGTATAAACACGATTATCAAAGCTTTTTTTTTGTCAAATTTGAGGTTATAAAAATATAAGTCGATTTAACTCCCACTTTGAATCTCACCTTTACCCCTCTCCATAGAAATGGGTAATCGTAGGGAATGTTGTAAGCTTGGTTGACAGGTGACATCGATTAACCAATCAGCTAAAGTATCATCAATCAAATTATAGAATTCTGAATTGCTCGATCGATTTTGCTAGGTGTCCGTTTTAATCGCTACCAAAACAGTGAAAACAAACTCAAACCCCATCCTTATTATTACCGATTTCACGTCACGTGAAAGAACTTTCTACATTTTTCGGCAACTTGGTAGTTGTAAACCGAGTCATGATAAAGTCATGAGCACAGACTATAACTATTATATGCGCATTATATTATGTAGTATAGAACCAGGAAACTGTCCAGTTTTTGGGATTCTTGTCGGAACTCAGAGTTCTGTTTGTCTGACGTACTCTTCTCAAAATATTTCATGGTTTAAGTGTTGACAGGAACGAATCGTTGCAATACTTTCATAGCAGCTGCAAATTATATACAATTTAAGATGTTTCGCTGTCAATAGCCTAAATTCTTTAAAGTTGTAATGTTTATGTTTAACCACTTGTATTATATAAATGCTTCTGTACATCAAAGACAGTAAATATAATGTACTAAAAAAAGAAGAATTCACTTGAATACTATGATATTGATATATATAATATTATGAGACAGACCTTCTAGAAAAGTAAGACGAGTGTACGTTGTTATTGTAGCATGTTTGTGTCAAAGGCAGCTGCTTTTATAGCCGTGTTTACTGTTTGGGCATCTGTCTGTCTGTTTGTACAGCCGTCTGTCTGTCTGTTTGGACAGCCGTCTGTCTGTCTGTTTGGACAATTTGTCTATTTCTATCAGTTTCTAGACAGTTCAAAAGTTGGTGTTAAGCTGTTGTGACCGGTGTTGTTGTGATCTCGCCATTGTAAGAGAGTGGTATGGTATTCACAAAGTGGTATGGTATGTAGGCATCTATCCTCTGTCGTCTGAATAAAGTGTTAAATTATGATAGAATTTTCTGAACTTTAGCCGTTTTTCCTTCTAGGATTTACGTCTGCATGATAACATTATGTTCTGTCATGTTCTCGAATGTGGTGGGCTTTTTCATTCTAGACTGAATTTTTGAGAGAGGCTGGAATTATCATTTCAGTGACACGAAATTGTCACCACTCACCATACGTCGTTTCAAATTACTCATCATGATCTGCTAATCGTGATTTCTATCATTAATCAAAGATTCTAAATTTTCCAATCATAATTCCAAATCGAGCTAGATACTACCAATCTGCAAAGTGCTACAGCACTATAACAGCGGTATTAAACTGATCCACGATATCACGACAGGCCCGAGTGCTCAATAAACTCAGCCTCAGCAGACCGGTAGTCAGTACCAGTTGCTGAACCAAACAAAACGCTCACTCATCCTTAGCCCCCAATGTCAATCAGTGTGCAACAAGATATGATCTCTTCCACATACAGTGCGTGTAGAAAGTAGTGTTATTATGGAATCAGTGTGTGTGTGTGTAAGCTCACTTTGTTCTGTTACACCAGGCCGGGGGGCGGGGGTGACTGACGCCGCTTTTTGTCGGGCTCTTCTTTGATCCGGTAATTCCCCTGAAGTGTAATACTACTGCCACGATGTGTTCAGGGGAAGTGATAAATCAAGTAGTCTGTAGTTGTGGTAAACACTGTTTGGTTTGAAGGCTTGCCAGCCGTGTAACGTAGAGTCACGGAGGGTTAAAACCTCAAATCTAGCCAGTAACCACTGGTCTTATCTGCGCTAGACAGTTATGTCAGACCTCCCCTCAAAAATATATCACCCGGTAGTGTTCTCAAAGATTCCATTTTGATGATAAAACCGTTTCCAGAAATTTTAAGAAACAGTCATGAACTCCCGTGATGAAATTAAGATTTAAGGGCTGGGTTGCCGGTACTAGCCGTGTATTTTTGGCGCTGTTGAGCTTGATAACCAACTTTTTCCGTTTCACATGAGTTCACGGGATGTGCTCTTCGCGTTTGACGGAATTGTGAAATTTGACCCGTTATTTTGGATTAATAAGCACCGATTATTGATTCAAATATTCCGGGCTAATCGACAATTTGGTAGCTCTCACTAATAATGGTCGCAAAATTAAGGAAATGCTCTATTTTCAAATGATCGAAAATTCTGTCGCCTCACTGTGGATTGCCGATCGACGGTGATTTTCTCGAAAGTATTTTATGGATATTATGGTGACTCTATATTTAGTTGTAACATTTATGTTGCGGATACGGGGATATTATTTTTGTATGCAGTATTTACTCCGTTATATATCCGTTGTATATATTCAGAGATTCTTGTTCTCTTCATACCAAAAACCATTGCACCTACATCATTCCCACACCAGACTAATCTTACAGTCTCACGAAAACGTCAATTCTGATTAAATTTTGTGACACTCCTGTAATCCTGCCACTGTATTTTCGGTCCTCTGGCCAACTGACAGTATACCTGAAATGGTGAATGTCGACAATCTGAAAATTTAAATCTGTTGTGGGCTCGGTGGGTGACAGGAGGTGAAATTTAGAGTTGGGTTGTCTGCCTCCTGGTAATGACATTACCCGGAGGACCCGGCCAGGGAGATCTAGCAACCTGTATTCTGTGTAATTTAATTGATTAACTCGGGTCTCGGTACAAATATTTCAATGTCACGTCTCTCTCTCTCTCTCTCTCTCTCTCTCTCTCTCTCTCTCTCTCTCTCTCTCTCTCTCTCTCTCTCTCTCTCTCTCTCTCTCTCTCTCTCTCTCTCTCTCTCTCTCTCTCTCTCTCTCTCTCTCTCTCTCTCTCTCTCTCTCTCTCTCTCTCTCTCTCTCTCTCTCTCTCTCTCTCTCTCTCACACTCTCTTTCTCTCTCTCTCTCTCTCTCTCTCTCTCTCTTCCTAGAGAGAAGCGTACTTAATGTGGCACAGCTGCCACATTACCGGCCATCAATTATGGTTCTGATTATCTTGCACTGGTAAACCACAAGTGTGCACATTTTAAACCTTGCGTACAACTTGTAAATATAATCATTTCTATTTGGTCTGAGGATATTAAGTAAAAAGTAATAATGAGATACTGTTGCAAGATGAAGCTTGGAACAATGCCAACTAAGAAGGTGTAAAAGGTCCTCTCAAATCAGATCTAGGAATGATCAGCCCATATTAGACGTTAACTAGTTCTAGCGCTCCTTTCTTTGCAACATAATGCAAACTTGATACGTGACCCATTATGTGATCTCATGGTCGGAAATTGGAAAAATCAAAAAAGTGGATATTCTGCGAATTGCCACTGGAGATGAAGTCGCTGGATCCGGTGCTCCGCAGTCCATGAAGTGGAGATCTCTTTGTTACCCTATTAACTGGACAATGTTCAGCTTAATATCAACAAAAGGGCTCAGACCGAAGTGCAGGTACGCCGTGCTAATCTCAATTATTTCTCTTTCTCCCGGTACCACTCACGGAGTAAAGCCAGACATAACCGGCTTTAACTCCCTGCTCTGTACTATCCAGTACGGTGGTGTAGTAATGTGGGGTGATTTGCTAATTGGGTAATTAATTGAGTTAGGATCTGTGTGGCTGGCGCCCAATGTGGTGTGTGTAGTTGTACAACTGGTAGTAGTGTGTACGTCTTGTAGTGATGGGGTGGTACGAGGCGAGGCCGAGTTTAGTATGTACATTAGTAATAGTACGTATATATACTAAATTGGTGCGTACATTAGTACGTGATAACTCTATCGGGCACCTAGAAGCTGCAAAGTGCATCAGTTTAACAAACAAATAAATTACTTTAAGGTCTGATATAGACAGTGGCTGGAGTTACCACCCTACTGTTGTTAAAAACTGGTCCGACACTGAACCTTCACAGTTCATACGTACTTCTTGGGAATTTATCTATCCAACACCTGTTTTACCAAACATCTGTTTTAGTTTGTACATAAAATAGTAGCTATGTGAGAAGCGCGAGTCAAGTTATGGGGGTGTGGCATTTCTTTGTCGGTCGCTTATTTTCAAGACAGAAATTAGTTTCTAGGTGTGCTCTGTGGTTAAAATGGAAATTATGTCAGATCAATATTTACATAGTTTAGGGTACGGGAATTGGGTAATTTGATGAGCAGAACTTTGGATTATTTTTTATTTATAACAATAGCTTTTAATCGCTGTATCTTTCAAAGATCCGGCGGATTTGACCCCGACTGAGTTCATGAAACTTAATTGCAATTATCTTGTAAGATATAATTAAATTTTTGTCTGCGCACATTCCTTTTAATTGTTGTATCTTTGAAAGATCCGGCGGATTTGACCCTGACTGAGTTCGTGAAACTTAATTGCAATTATCTTGCAACTTATAATTTAATTTTTGACTGCACACTGATCAGTTTAAATCTGTAACTCTTCGACAATTTTGTGGTTCACTTTAATTAACATGTCATCATTCATCAACATGTCATTTACATAAAATTAGCTTATCATATAATTAGCGTTTAATTAAAACACGTTATTAACTTATCAAATTATCTAATCACTTCACTCCTCCAGAACCGCCCACCTGGGTTCCTGACAGCGAAGCTTCTCGGTGCAGCAGTTGCGACGACACCTTTACTTTACTGAAGAGGAAACACCACTGCAGATACTGTGGCCAGGTACTTGTCTTTACTTGTTTATTTGTCTTTTTTCCAAACATATTTCCTCTAAAAGTTAACTATGTAACTGAGTTTAAATCTTGTTTCCATTATATTTTACCCAATCTTTGTTGCCAAGTTTTCAAATCTTCCGCCTATAAAACGAAATTTTATTCTAGTACAATATTATTGCGAAAGAAAATTCACAATGACCGTGACTCTATTTCGTTACAATATGCAAGTCACACTATCATTATATTACATCATCACAATAGCGCCACAATTAACTCATAATTGGATACCACGTTGCAGCGTGTGTGCAGCTATAAGGCTATAGATAGACCCCCCTTATCTCCGTATCTAGAATCTGTCAGTGCATGTGTTGCTATCTGACCTTCTGTCCAGCTATTCTGACCTGACCAGCTATACTCGTATCATTTGTCATCAAGGACCGGGGTCGGTCTGTCACCAACTCGGGAGCTCTTATCCCTCTTTCTCTCTCTCTCCCTCTTCAACTTCCTCTGTAACTGTACCTTGTACCACGTGACTAACTTGTCATGTGATGAAGCCGCGCAGCACGTGCAATGTCACGTGATCACTTGTCACGTGATACTTATTCTACCTGATCTTATCAAATTTTATAGTGGTACGTGGTACAATGACTCGGTGTAGGGAACGACATAATCGGGAATTTTTCTTTACTTTGGAGGTAAGGAAGCAAAGGTTCGACCTCAAAAGTCTAGATAAGTGAATTGTAATAACCTTTGCAGCCTAGGCCTGGCTATCAGGTGCACCGGCCCTATAATATTTAGTTAACTTTTAGATAATATGACATGAATCGATAACACAGACATCTCTAAAATAGGCATAATAACAGTCGAGTTGCTGCAGTGCGTGATACACTCCCCCCTCTGCACGCTATCGAGGAGGAGGCTTTGTCCCTGCAGAGATTTAGACTGAGTTATTAGGTAGCACTGTGTGAAGAGGGCATGTTGTAGCGTACACCTTGTCTGTCACCCGTCTCCTCGTGCTTATCTCCAGAACTGGCGGAGTTTGACAGGAGCAGGGAAGGAAGGAGGAACTGGGTTATCTGGAGATGCCAGAAGAAAGGAAGGGATGCTCTTATCTTGGTATATCCTGGTATAGTGCCGTGTTCATAGCTGCCCTGCACTCGTCTTATCAGGGAGGGAGGGAGAGGAAACCTTTGTTGACATTAATGTTCACACTTTACAGTTGGGGGTGGTGAACATGCACGTGAAATTGCGTGATTTTATGTCGTTAACACAGATCTGGAGTTCAGCGGATGGTAATTTAATACAATGTTGGTTTAGTGACAGGAACAGGTCAGGTTGGGAGTGAGGTCCGGCCGACGGACGTTGTCTAAATCTGTCTCTGGTGGACCAGTTGATGGTCATCAAAGAGCCGTTGCCCAGCTACCAATATCAGTATTAAGATATTTAATCATTTTTGATACAATACTAATTAATGAATCAGACTTAAATCAGCGGTCAAAAAGGAAGTTCCGAAGGAACTGCCCAGGCCAACAGACGTTGCGTTCATGCAATATTAGACCCACCGCCCCAATCTCACCACCACTTTCTAAACACCTCTCTCTAAACAGAGCACGTTCTCAACATGTCATCCTATTTCCATTCCCAATTCAGGCTTACTTCTGATTACATTAGTATTATCAAGTTCGGGTCATGTTCACCTAACCAAATCTGAACCTAGCACAGACTGGGACTAAAACTGTGTTACCTCTTTGTCACTCAGCATTTTTGACAAGTGTGAAGGAATTTTAGTACCAGGAATAAATCATCGTCTTCATGATCTCTGCGATGCCATTAAAATATCCCGCCACTTTCCGGATATTATCTTGGAATATGTGTGAGTGTGTGGGAGTTGATAGTCACCATATATCACCATGTATCACCATCACCATTCACCATCACCATAATGATAAAGAACACACAGTGATGATGTGGGCTACTGTTTCTACATCCGGATACCGGGGCACTCCCTCTTTTTTAAAAAGAAATGGTTAAAGTGCCGCATTAATCTCCGGGTATTTTATCCTTAATAATTACAGCGCCAAATCTTGAGTAAAGTAGCACAGTAATCTGATGTAATGGATGAGTCATGAGCTATTTAAAATTGTATATAACTGTAATATATGATAAAGTTGCTCTCTGATAATTTTCAGCTGTTCCATTTTACGAATATTTGCAGCTGATTCCGACTTGAATGGATTTTACCTGGTTGTATGGTAAGATCGATAGATTCAAGCTTCTTTTCATGGCTATGGTACCAGCTGAGCAGCTAGAATTATCTCCAGTAACAAATACAAATGTAAATGTTAGATTTAATCTATTTTATCCGATGATTTAAAGCCACCTGTCGGGTCTAAATTGGTCCACAAAATGAATATTATTCAAGTATTCAAAATATTAAAGGAGTTAATTCAATGCTATTCACAAAATGCTGTGTGTAAACGGCACACTTTTGTACGTGGAATTTAAAACATGCGCCGGACAAGCTATATCTTAAAACTTGTGCTTGTTGACCTCCCTCGCATCCGTGTTAGGATGACTATCTATCGAGAGTTTTTATTAATTGCTGTTACAGTGATCGTTTTTCTCTCTGTCCACTGTTGGAGAGCGTAGTATAGGTGTAAAGTAGACGTAAGCAACAAGGATACTAGCTATAATATATTGAAGATATGGGCCAAAAATAGAGCCTTACGTGAAAAATTTGGTGCAACCTCCGTACCCCGATACCGATTGACGTTATAAGTAAGAAAAAAAGGAAAAAAATGAAATCATCTCCCCAACCATGCGTAGAATTGATCACGTGTGTCAACTGTCATGAATAGTACAGTTTGGCCCATTGTCATGTTTGGAATAATGATCTTTTTTCTGTATGTGGTGAGTGATTTTGACTCAAACGAATAGATAACAGTTACATAACCCATAAAATTTGCTTTTCATCGCGCCCTCTATTTGCACATCATGAATGTGGTGATATGTTAGTGTTGAAATTAGTCGTAGTGCTAATTGTGACGTCACGTTCACCCTCACAACGTGTTATTTTCTCACGTCATTCCCCCTCTTGTCCACACTACCTGAATCATACCTTTCTCAGAATACAGGTAAATTCTCCCATGTCAAGGGCTTGCTGTTGACATTACTGTTTGGAGCTGATAATTATTCCTAATTAACGGTGTAGCGACATGTCACAAGGCTTTGGGAAAGAGAAGTTGCGGTATTGACAAGTTTCAACTTTGTAAAGTTGAAAATCCCTTTATATGTCCTCCACAGCTCTACAGCATCTGCAGAGAGATGCCTAATTAAGTTAATGAGAAGTTAATTAAGTTAATAAGATTTTATTGTTTTGTGCTCAGCAGTGCTCCACTATTTGACTGCTAGACATGGCCTAAACTGTCTGGGTTCTATCTGCCTTTGTATCCGTGTTCTCCATGCCTTGTTTGGTACACAAAGCACTGAATTGTATCTCTGCTGCGAATTTGAAGGTTAAACAGAATTTCTTGGAATTACACAAACGTTAGCACTAAAAACATAAAAGTCAGCAAATGTCCTTATCAAGATATAAAAATATAGGAAAAGGCTCCAGTCAGATATGTTTCATTGGATCACATCATCTTCATAATTCTTTTGGTAACATTCTAGTACTCAAAGCCACCTCACGGCCGACCCTTTTTGGTTGTCAGTGCACAGTAAATAAGGGACCGCAGAAAATCACCCGATAATGCAAAGTCCACTGGTGCATAGTTCGCATAATACGATACACAATACTACCAATATAGTGTCGGTGTCTCACTGATGGCTCTTTCCGGTAAAATGGAGAACAAGAGAGCGGGAAAATTTGTGTTTTTGTAGATGAAATCGATCTGCACCCAGCACCATATAATGTCATGACAGAATAAACAAATAGATACGTAGATTATTTGTATACCGCTTAACTTTCAGACATAAACTTTCAGACATAACTAAGTTAGCTAAGTAGGTTAACTTTAAGCGGTATCTTTATTGTAACCAGGTTACAAACCCAGATTTTCCCGCTATTTCTGCCTCCATAATTAAACTTAATGTGAGGATTTGTTTGACGGTTACTCTCAATAATGTGCTCCGACAAGTTGTGATAAATTCCCTTAATTTAATGCATGATATGTCTGAGAAATGGCCATGGCTTGTATAATTTGCATTTAAACATGCCGTAAGTCACGTTAGTTTGAAGCTGTATTACTGTAATTCCCAGGACTATGCGTAACAATTGACACCTGTTTAAAACATATATGTCGAGTTTTCTTGCAAGACAGAGAGAGAGAGAGAGAGATAGAACAGGGTTCTAAAAACGGAACTTGACACATGTTGACTGTATGGTGTTATTAGTACCGTTGAACATGATATGAACCAGATAAGCTGGCAAGCTCCGCGAGCTTATCTTTAGCCGGAACTAACTCCGGTTCTTCTCCTATCTGCCTTGGAACTCGGGAGTTTTCTTCCCAACCCTCGTCCCACCAATAATTAGATTACGTGTTATGCGCCAAATTCTTCTGTTTTATCATTATCATATCGTAATGGAAGTTGAGCTGTGTCAATATGTGCCCTGATCGAGCGCCTCTGTCTCTCACACAAACCCACAATTAAGGGGTGTAATATTGGGGGTAGGGTATCCCCGCGCTAATCAACATATCCTTTTAGCTAAATTCCAACGTGGCAGCAGACGTCAATAACCCATTATATTCAGATACATATTATATTCATTGTGGGGCTATATATAGAAACCTACCTAATCAGTAATCCTATTTGTAGTTAATGACTCGTTAAACATTTCAGATATTTTGCCAGAGTTGCACGGCAAAGTCCGCCGTCCTGAACTTCACAAAGACAAAGAGCCCGGTGCGAGTATGCGATGGTTGTTACGATCAGTACACGTCGTTGGTTGCCGCGACGTCGTCGACGACGACGACGACTCAAGGAGAACCGTCAAGCAGCGCCCACAGTTCGGTGTCAACGTCGTGAGGGTGACACGGTGCTTCATGTGCGTCCGAACAGGATGCAATCTGTTTCGAGTCGAGCGCACGTGCGGCACGGCGCTCTTGTCTATGAGGTAGATAAGTGCGTTGTGTTGCACGTGTGGACACTTTAAGACAGTAGAGTAGTCAGTTACTCCCATCAACACAGAAAGTTGTAGATTTTCAGATCTTGTGGTGATTATTACATTGGGTAATTATATCATTACCTCCCCTGAGAGCAGGTGATTTAATATAGCCTTACCTAAATCAGAAAACTGTGAAAGAATGTTTGCCTGTTTTGAGGAGAAATCTTACATATTTTGGATGTGTTTTTTTTTGTGATTTTGTGTTTTTAACGGCCCTTCTCTTTCAAAAGATGTGCAGCTCTCTTATAAGCTTTGTTTTGATATTCTGTATTTGTGAGGTGCATGGTATTTTAAATTAAATACTTCACATACTTCACCCTCACAACGGTTTTTATTTGTTACAATTAAACACGGGTAATCAGAAGAATGTTTGTTGTCTTGTTATCACGTGATATCACGTTGTTTTGATAGTATCTAAGTCAAGCACCTATGCATGGTACTAAGCATGCAAGTTTATGTCAGATAAACGGATCGAATCGTCGTCCGTTGAATATTTTCTTATTTACCGTGCTACGATCACGGAATTTTAGAGGACGTAATTTGGGAATTACGGTTGCATTGCCCGATTTAGATGATTGGACAAGGGATCACTGAATCGCGTCGGTGATTACTGAGCGTCAAAAAACCTCTTAGAATTCTGGAGCCGGAAAATCGGGGATATCTGCCAGAAATTTCGAAGAGTGTTATGTGAGTATGTCGTCATAAAGTGATACAAGATAGTCAATGATTGAAAAATTTACCGTTGCAGTGATGACCAGATGATTTGTATAATTTGGCAATGGGAATGTTAAGCTCGATAATTGTAGCTTAAATAGCGAGTTATATTAGTTTTTAGTTTGTAATCAAATAATCTTTTTCGATCGGCAGGAGTAAATACGTATGATAGTGGTAACTGGTAGCATTAATTTTAATAAGTTTTATAAAATATCTGTTCATACACCTTTCAATTTTCATACCTGGAGCTAAATTAATTCTATGAGTTTGTTAAATTATATTACGCTTAGATGAGCGATAGCCTTATTTAAAGTTAACTAAGATTTTGACAGTAGATAAAAATGGAGCTTTTTCTATCGCGATGTGTTGTATTCTCATACCATTCGAGTAGATTTTATCATCAAAGAAACGGCTTTTTATTTTCATGTGATATGGTAATTTTCAATTTTCAATTTGTTCCTCAGACAGGTGAGAATTCATGATTATTTACCAAGCCCGCGCCCAACCTGAATGAGACAAACCCTTTCCAACATACAGCCACTTTTCAAATTACGCTGGACCGTGAATGTTTTGTGAAAGAGCACTGAATGATGAGTGAAGGAGAATTAAAATTTCAGTGGAGGGGTACTTTCTCGTTCAGATCTATTCAGACATTTGAAGTGCAAATTATGAAAGTTAATTTCGCAGACACCCGATGAATCCACTCAAATGACTGCATTCTCAGACTATTCAAGTTCAGAATAGCGTGATGTTGTACTAAATTCTTGAAACGTCAAGAGCTAAGTGAGCCACATTAACAAATAACAATTGTAGCATAACGTGATGTAACCGATACGTCGAGATCACATGGTATTTTAGTTTCTGAAATGATTTGATGGAACACGCGAAACTTTTAAGGAACGCATATCGTACTTTTTCAGCGCTCAGTATGGTATAAATGCGCACGCGCAAAGCTCTTATTTTGCGATTTTCTTTTTAGCCATGCTGCATCCCCGGCCATTTTATTTCGTAACTACTGATTCTAAATAATAGAATTTATTCGTTCATCCCTACACATAACATTAGCCGTCGGCACACACCCGTAATGCAATTCCTGGTCATAATTCATGCCGTAATTACTGCTAACTGCACCTGCTAGACTTTTATGTCGCTTGCGGACTGCAACGTTAAATATAATACGCGTGCAAACCCCGTGCCATGCCAATACTATAGTTACGTTTCATTTTTCAGACAGCTAGTCTAGTAAGCTTGATTACAAGAAAATGTTGAAATACCTTGTGCCCACAATAATTTGATCCTTGTCGAAGATCAGGTAAATGAAAGTGAAGTTGTCCGATTAATGATGATTGTAGCTATATAGTCGTGCTCGGTAAATATACAATATTGAATATGTTTTGATAAAGGAGTAAAAAATGTATTAACCTTTCCTGAATGCATAGTTTGACTCACTTCTTAGTTGAGCGTGTTGCTTCTCGTCACATGTCCGGAATTTAATCTTTTAAAAATTGTGATCGAATCCCAAATACTATTATGCAATAAAACAGAAGACCGGACTAACTGAAGAGCTATAAGAGCATGGACGGCAGTATTCTGCTGATTTTGATTGGGACTAGGAGCTACTATCTAGCCTCCAATCTTTTTCAGCAGTCTAATGCACGACAAACAACCAGGCAACGGTACATGAGCTGTTCATGCACCTCTTCAACACCGTGAACAGTGAATATCAATCTGGAGCTGCTGAGTGCTGAGCTACAAATGCAATAGACGCTCTAACTTAGGAGCAACTCAACTTAAGTTGATTTGGACAAGGATGAAAATCCAAGCTTGGTTGATAAACCACGACTATAGTTACGATGGAAGGTACTATAATCATATTTCTGATTGCTATGGTGATTCTAATCGTCATAACGATGGGAGGAGGAACAGCAGGGTTCTGTTGTTTTGGCTGGCAAAGCAGCTTACCTATCAGCTACGCTAGCAAGCTGATGGAGGAACTCCTGTATCATGAGGAGAGTACCAGACTGCAAAGGTACTCAATTCTTACCTTTGATAAACGACGAATTATGAATATGGAAATCATTGTAATCATATTTCTGATTGCTATGGTGCTATACTTGGCGTTATAACGATGGGATGAGGAACAGCAGTGTTCTGTTGTTTTGGCTGGGAAAGCAGCTTACCTATCAGCTATACTGGTAAGCTGATGGAGGATCTCCAGTATCTTGAGGAGAGAACCAGACAAAGATACATGAGGTTTGCACACCTCCTGAATACGGTTGCAATCAAGGTGAGCAAGCCAAGGAAGCCGCCGAGCTTCCATCAAAGCTATATTTGAGGAACAACTCAACATTAGTTGATTTGGACAGATTGAAGAACGACAACACTTGTGTGGTGAGTTGTCAGACAACTACCAACAAGAAGCACCACAATGATTCGGTTGTGATCGACATTGAAGATCCAGCCGAGGAGTGGGAAAGGACTTATGACCGTTCACCAACTGATGCGGACATCTGGACAAGAGTCCGAGACTTTTACAGTTTCCGGATGTCTAAAGACTATGACTTTAGCAACTTCAACTTTGGAGTATCAACCTAATGCTAAAGTCAACTTTGTAACACTAACAGATGTATCAACTTTATTAAACACCACGTTTTCGGATAATCGGCTAAGAAACGGCCCAAGCAACAAGTCCCGGTTGTTTGGGTCACAGTGGGGGGAGCAAAGTAGTTGAACTGCCTGCTCTTCGTGCCAGCCTCTTAATCTATTAAACCCTGTCGAGTGACAGGATTTGACAGGACTAGGGGTCCCACTGCCGCGGATCTTACCAGGCTGATGATCCTTGAGTGCGGTCAACTCACTTCCCAGCCCCCATTAAATCAATAAGTAATTGCAATTACACGATCCTTGATAACAGCAAGGTTGTAAAGTTCAAGTATCTACCTGCTCTTCAAGCCATGCCGGTGTGATAGGGCCTGAACTGGAGGTCCTCATTCTGGGGGCGTAAACTGGCTGATGATCCTGAAACGTGGTCAACTCCGGCCGCTAATCCGTCGTAACACGTGTCTAGAATCTAATTATAAGGATTACATGGACATCATATCAGTCTTTTATTGACTTTTTTCCTCCATCTGCATCTTGATCTAAGATTTGAATTCTGATGCAACCATCAAAATTAGACAAATAATGACTGGTGGATGGTAACATGTGCGAAGACGAATCCGAAAAAAAACCTTGCTATTAATTCTAAGGCCCACATTTCCTGTAAATAGTCCTTTTGTTTGTGTAGTGCTCTCCGACCTAACAATATAATGGCATTGCTAAGCGAGGGTGGTTTAACATCACCAGACATCTGGATCGTTATTACCATCAATATGGTTGCTCTGATCTCGATCCTTCTGAACCCATTGGTATTCAGACACAACTTTCGTAAAAAGCGCTCCATCGCTCGAGATCTTTACATATTACTATCAGCAACAGATTTTTTTTCCGGTCTTTTCCTTCCCATTACTATTACCATAGGAATCTTAAGACCTAAAGAAGAACAATGTTATCAGGATCACGAGCTCCATTTCTGCCAGATGGATTACTACAAATACAACAGGACCGCTACAATACCAGAGAAAGTTGCCGGAACTGCGGTGTGGTACTTTATCTACAGTCCTCTGGTCATAACATCGGTTCTGTCCATCACAAGATGGTATCAAATCACATATCCTCTGAGAATCCTCAACAGGACCGCGGTTGAGATATTTGTTGTTGTTTTGTGCTTATTTTATGCGATCGATTTATCTTATTTGCTTATCTGCGATTCTCCAGGGAGGCAAACATTGATGAAAATAAACGTTCAAACAGTTTTTAATATCAATCCATTCTCAACCGATAAATTGTACATTCCCCTTGAGGAAACATTGGCAATTATTCCGACTTCTCTCTCAACCATAGCATCCGTTTTAACTGTTTGGAGCATAATGAGATCTCCAACTATCCCAGGAAGTTTAGAACTACGAGCTAAAAGAATAAAGAGCACAATAAAAATAATACTCCTTAATGCAGGAAGTGTTGTTCTTATAGGATCATTGGTATGTGAGATATTTATTGATCGTCGCAGTGATCTTATACTTATCCTGCAAACAGTATCGTTATCTCTACCCATCCTAGTGTCCTCGTATAACCCTGTTATTTATATCCTGCTGACGAAATCTATTCTCAACAATAACTCTAGAGTCGGAGGTGGAAACTGATAATAACTTTCATTTTTGCAGATTTTTGTCATCAAATTTGAGTTTTGTTAAATACTTTAAATTGAATGGTTGAACTGATATTCTGATGAAATATTCTTTAAGTCTTATTCATCTGAAACTCTATTTAATTTGTTCAATATAATAAAGTGATACAAGAGTTTGATAAAAATTTAGCTTAATTTTAAGGATTTACATTCGCATATTGCTGTAAACATAATGATTAAACATTCCACATATTTCATAACAAAAACAATTTTCAATTTAATCAGAAAAGTAAATCACACGACACAAACAATTTTGAACTTTAATCAACTTATTTCAGGTAAAATTTAGAATAAATTATTGATTATAAAATTACTTAAAGAAATCTAAATTTTAGCTTTTGGTCAGTTTTTAAAATCTGTCAAGATGACTCTTTAGTTCAAGAAGAATAGCGTAGAGACGTCAAACTTCCAGATTCCATTAAAAACCGTTTGTCATTTGAAAACTATTTTACTGGTTTAATTACATATACGTTTAATTACATAATATGTATGTTAAATTACATACATTGATGATGATTTTCTGCGATGTCCACAGTTTCCCTATTTGCCCTATTTGCCCTAATTATCGTTCATTAAACTACATTGATTCTTCACATCCATGAGTACATATTTATCAAATATGTTCGAGGGTCGTCGACCAATAAATGGCTCACTCGATGCCGAGTCCCAATAAAATTTAACGACAGAGTTTCATTGTTTCTCGATTGATCTACACCTACAGTTTGATTGTAGCACCCATTCATAGAACATATTTCATTGAATGCATGCTCAAAGTCAAACTTAATTCAGCCTGCTTCCAAGAAAGCGATTGTCAAATATCACCCATGCTGCATGCTGGACTCAACAGTCTCAATAAGAGTAGCATAAAATGTTCATTTCCCTTGTCAATTATTTCCTGGAGGGCTGATTTCCTTGAGGATTTTAGCGTAGTATGGTCCGTACACCCGTCTGTTGAAGTCCACAAGTTTCAGGTAAGTTTCCCCACATTTCACCACTTGTTCCTTAACCAGCTCAAACCCTTTGGGAAGAGCAGGTTTTCTGTTCAAACTCATCTCAGTGATGTACCCGGTAAGTCGGCGCTTCAGGAGATTGAACACAGGATCTTCCTCGGACTCCTGAATCACACCGTCCACGGTGGACTCGACAACACGCTGGAGGGTCTCCTTGTTCACACCAGGAACTTTAGTGACACACAGGTCCACTGTTTTGTGCAGGAGAAGGTCTCGGTAAGGTGCTGGGTCCTCTGGAGCTAGGATCTGGAGGGTGGAGTGGAGGGAGTTGAGGAAGGGTTCCTCGGCGTATCCGGGGTGGAGTGAGCCCAGTTTGAGGGAGAGGAGGGAGGAGAGGAGGAGGGAACGGACCTGAGAGCCAAGTTTAGCATACCGGCCCTCGTCTAGTGACACCGTCTGTAGGGAGTGTTTGTTAGTAAGAGCTTATATCACCACAATGTCATACAAATTACTATCAACCCCTACAGATGTTGTGTTAGAAACAGGGATTGAGGGATGGTGATTTCTCGAAACAATTTCACAGATCAAAAAAAACAGAAGTTTATTGATAATCATAAATGTTGTCTCTTGAACACAGTATTAAATTTCACAAGAAAAGCTAGAGAATATGAAAAGCTAGAGATAGGAACCTCAGGTTTTGGGGGTGTAGTAGAGAGCAGTGTGAGGTAAGCTTGGCACATTGTGGCTAGGGGACTGTCCTGTAGATTGTCTCTGAGCCATTCCTTTGTGTTGTTTAGTCCTGAGAAAGAGAACATTTTAGATGTAGTTGTAGAGAGACACCAGATTATCATACTTTATCATACTTCACATACCACAATATTTAAACCTGTCCAGAAGATTCTATTGTTTCGTCTGCTAAAAATTTGAAATATTCCAACAAATTTAATGAGAAAAAAGCCATGGTTTGGTTTGCTAAATATTTGAGGTATGTTAAGAATGAATATCGTTGGCATGAGACTCACCACTAGGATGATTTGTCAGGAATTCCTCGAATTTAGCTCTCTCGTATTCAATACTGTGTTGCTTGATGGTTGACTTAGCTTGTTCTAAGTAGTAATTAGCAACCTCCAATTTGATAGCTTGTACTCCTTCGAAGAGGGCCCTGAATAGACATTAGATTTAATAGTTTCAACACTACTATATATAGTAGTGTTGAAACTATTAAACTCAAATTATTTGTTATACCTTACTCGGGATTATTATAACCGGGATAAAGTGGTGGGTTTTGGAAGATTCCGCCATATTTTTCCCGGTCAAAAATTTTACCAGTCATAAAAAAACCCGCCGACTCAGATTATGGGGTTCCAAGGGGGTGGTGATCATCATATTTTACCTGAAGTCTCATATGTGCTAGAGAAGACTTTTGAAGCAGTGGATGGAGGGCTGTAACTTTATTGGCGGTTGCTACCATAATTTCGTTATAAAAATCACAATTTGGTTATAGAAATCAGATTTCAGTGTGGACCGTGATTCTCACTTTTCTTGCCCATGAAGTGAGTAAACTGTGCCACTATTTCATGGTCCACGGTGGATTGATTACTGGAGCAGTTGAAGATGCAAAGCCAAGACGTTCCCCAATACCAAGCGGTGGGCAGGAAATTAAGCTCCGGCTGACCTTCAGAGCAGTAGCCCCATTAGCGGACAAAATGAAAGTCTTGTTAAGACAACAATACAACTTCGAATTTGACGGTCAGCAGCAGGGGGATATCAATAATGATAATGGAGGGGACATTAGCGATAATGAGAATGAGAATACGCTTTAATGAAGATTTGACTTATTATTGCTATAGATTTATTTTCCTTTAAATACTAGACGTGTCTTTTTTTCTATTTCTGAGTAATATCAGTCACTGTAAATTGAAATAACTTCTTTAACAAGTAACAAAAACAGAAATTTCGGTTGAAAATTTGTTGACCTCTGAAAAAAAAACTTGAAAGGTCGGCCACCGGTAAATACATGACCGGGATAATTTGGCAGGTTTTGGGAAAGTCCGCCATATTTTTCCCGGTTATTAATTTTCCCAGTCATAAATTAACCCGCTATAATATTCCCGAGTAAGGTATATAACAAATAATTTGAGTTGTTTGATCATTAATTGAAGATTTCATGATCCTGCCATACCTGTGTAAACTTTATAAACATGTTTTAAGGACATCCTACAATAACTATCATTGCATGTGTCAAAATGAGGAAGAAATATTCTATGAGACCACACCTTTAACGACGTATTATTAACCGTTGACACATCTACTCACTTGAATATCTCGACAACATCTTTCAGTTCCATGATGGCTCGTATTTCAGGATCTTTAGCTGCGGAGCAGAGCTTCACGAGAATACTCACGATCCCTTCCACTTTTACAGACAGGTCAAAAGTTTGGTGTTCGATCTGAAAATGGTGATTGATTCATGAATCCCATTGCGGTTTTATTCATACGTTGTATTAACTAATACTATTTAATTAATACTATTCAAAAACTTAAATTAAGGAAATATAATGACTTTTATTCACTAGATACTGATCTGAAAATTTATTTTTTAATCAACACAATTCAAAAATCACTGCAGTCTTCACGTACCTGCTGTGTAATAAGGTCGATGTCGATTGTGTCTGCGATGAGAACTCTAAGAGGATGAGTTGCGGAGAGTTTCTCAATAGTTCCGATACCTTCAATCTGCTCCCTTATCTCTGCCAACATACTCACACACTGCTTGAAGTCTCCAGACTCAACGTCCGTTCGAACCAGATCCCAGAACGCTTTCTTCATTGTCGCTTCTAACTCGCCTTGTGTTCTGTTGGAGTAAAGTACTTTAGTTTTATGTACATCGTCACAGTGAAACAGAATGACGCGTTTAATTTAACCTTGGATTGACTACATTCGGACATTTCGAACGTTAAATGTAACTAACTAGTCCACCATCACTTACCCCTCAGATTCCTTCTTCTCGATCTTGTAATCTGAGTTCATGGCGATCTCGTGCGCCATCTCCATCTTTGCCATATCCTCATAGAACTCATCAGAAGGTCCTGCTTTTTCAGTTTCCGGTTGAGACACCTGTTCATGTGACTCGTGCCCCTCCTCGGGCAAGGGATCGTCTGGTGATACCGACTCTACAAGAGTTTCTACCAAGGCGGGTACTTCACTTTTGGTTTCAGTTTCAGTTTCAGTTTCTATTTGCGGAGGTGTGTCCACAACCGAGAACTTCTCCTTTAACTCCTGTACTGCTATCTCACCCCCGGTTTGTCGGAGTCGGTCGATCACCATCTGCTCTTGGGAGGCCACGTGTGCTAAGATCGCATTGCTGTCCGATATGTCTTCCTCAGCTGTAATTAAAACACGGTTAACAAATCTAGAATAGAAAAGGTGAATGGTGAACTGGTAAATTTTACCAATAACAATGATTAAGTATATAAAATTGATAGAAACGGCGCATTTTCGTTGATGATCCCTGTATGCACTATGCACCTTTAACCAGCAAGATGCAGATTGCAGTTGCTGCTAGACAAACTGCATATGAATAAACTTTCTCATTATTTGAAATCTGCCGAGATATAGATCTCTTCATGAGGTTATACATTGAAATACCAAGTATTAGCTCTTAAAGAGAGCATACTTTGGGTAGTTTGGGTAGAAATATTTACGTTTTAGCTACATTGATTAAGTTATTTAATTTATTTACCTCCCGGTATTTCGATAGATGTTGCAGCATTCTCAGCTCTCGCTGTCATCGCAGCTTTCACCTCCTGCAAACAAAATTTCATTACACGAAATCGAACACTAATACTTGATATATCAATATTTGCTTTCAGCAAAAGAATTGCATGTCAGTTATTGAAGTTGTCTTGAATTTCTTTTCAGAGGATGTATGTGTACAGCGTCAAATAGGCTGGGCATTCTGATTAACTTAATCTAGAGACAGGTAAATTTAATTAAATGCACAAGTTAACCTTTTTATCTTCTAAATCACATTCTGCTTCTTGGCTTACAATTCACGAGCAGGTTTCATAAAAGGTTCATCTCCCTACGAAATACACGCACCCGCATGGAAAATGTCAATAAGCGCGCAATTTGAAGCGTTGTCGTTTTCTAATTTTCATCAATAAATTTGCTGCGCGCGCTCTATAACCCACAACCAAAACATTACGCAATGCAGCAGTAGTTGCAAGTTGGCACATCTAACTAGTTAGTAAGTCATGGGATTAATAACAGTCACGAGATGCAATTACTCTGACATATCAATAGTGCCATGCGTGTTAATGGGAAGGAACTCTTTTAAAATTGTTGTTTTCTTCCTTGTCGCACATGGTCATCAGACACAGTCGTAAGACATAATATAGTCATATGACGCTGTGACGTTTCTTTGTCTGCGTAGTGCTTCAGAAAGATTTTAAATAATCGTCTTTCTTTTGTTTTAAATAGCTGAATCACGAGAAGATAGCGGAAATGTCTCAATATAAGTTTAAGTCAAATTCTAGACTCACCGCATGAGTAGAATTCACGTGATTTTACGCTAACATGTGTGACGAAGAACTTCAAACATGGCATGTTAAATCATGCCAAGAAGTGATCCTCGTGTTGTAGACTTCTCAGTAAGATTCAACTATGATAAATGAAATATAGGTAACGACAGTTAACGGAAAATGATGCCGTAAGTGCTACTTTTAAACATGGGCTTCCTCACCGTACATCCTTCTCTCTATCGCAAATAATCTCATTACAACGAGAAGGAAGTTAGACTTCTACCCCGCACATTAGCACGTGTATTTAGATAATTTGCCTAATTTGCAATCAGCACACGTGACACCATCACGCCCACTGGAAAAGCAGTGAGTCTCAAAATCAGTTTGGTGCTGCAGTGGACACCAGGACACAGGAACCGGAAATGTATCACATTTTGAGGGGGACGTTATATTCAGTGAATCAGAGGACTTTATTACACTTTACATATTCAGATATATCCTTCCTTCACAGATCTAATTTTATCGGAGTATGTTATTTGTAGAAATCACGTACGTTATGATTCAAGTGTTGAGTTGTGCGTACGACATTTTTATTCGAGATCTGACGACTGTTTTATTATTTAGCAGGTAAAATGTTTATTTTTATTAACTTATAATGAGGTATCGTCAGCAAGCTAATTAAGATTGGGCGTGGATAATGTGATCAAGAAATGTTAACCACAATACTGACAGAAACAATACGCATAGCTGCAGATGCAGTCCTTCCAATTATCCCTGGAGAGTACTACATACTACATTCCACACCTAAGTTCACATCCAGCTCCATCAAGAATTTGACTTCTGGTGATGATTTGAACATCAGGTTTGTTTAACAAACTCGTGCCAATAATTGACAACTATTAGAACAATCACCACTATGTTATACAGTATGATTTATCAGCAGTATAAACAAAGCATGACTCACACCAGCTCTCTCACATGACTCAATAACAAGCAATCCTCCGCATGCAATTCTCCCCACAGTTATTAACACAGGCCCCCACAGGTAGCTATTAATCAATTGTTGCGGTCCGTGACTCATACTCTTGTGATTATTGTGAACAACAATGAAATTCTTCAGTTAAAATATGGGATTTTTACTTTTGAGATGGCTGACTTAATGGTGACGGATGTTATTAAGTCACGTAGTGTATTTCTTGGGTTAATGACAGTTATTATACAGTAACGAGGAGCGTGTAAGATACACATGTGTAAGCCGATCATTTGAGGAGAGAATGTGCTGAATACCGTGCATGTATTTCTGAGGAATTAAATAGTTTGAATATTTATCATTTTATCAAATTAATGGTGCTCAAAATGGTCAAAATGGTAAAATGTGCAGTGATAAGTAATGGTAGTCACACCCAGAAAAGTCTGGAGGAATGCTTTGATTCATTCCTTTACAAATGCTCCGTGGGAATTACTGAATATTGGTTTCCATCACTTACGAAAGAACCAACTTCATTACAAACACTTTCGAATCTACTCACTAGCCAATTTCAGCCACTCTATGAGCTATAACCACTATTAGATCATCAGAGAGATAGAGAGAGAGAGGGAGAGAGAGAGAGAGAGAGAGAGAGAGAGAGAGAGAGAGAGAGAGAGAGAGAGAGAGAGAGAGAGAGAGAGAAGAGAGAGAGAGAGAGAGAGAGAGAGAGAGAGAGAGAGAGAGAGAGAGAGAGAGAGAGAGAGAGAGAGAGAGAGAGAGAGAGAGAGAGAGAGAGAGAGAGAGAGAGAGAGAGAGAGAGAGAGAGAGAGAGAGAGAGAGAGAGAGAGAGAGAGAGAGAGAGAGAGAGAGAGAGAGAGAGAGAGAGAGAGAGAGAGAGAGAGAGAGAGAGAGATTGTATGTAGGCCCTATATAATATATAGTGAGGTGTATATACAGCAGTACCTACTAACCTACTACCACCACTGTGTATAGTACAGTGTTTTTAACTGTAGCACGTGATAATAATAACACGTGCTTACAATACCATTATTAAGAGCTAAACAGTACAATTAACATTGTGTGGACATTGTTTGTTTTTATTAATACAACTACTGAAGTGTATGACATCATAAATTCGGTGCAGGGAATTTTGCATGTGGTACTTTCTCGAATAAAAGAAAATTTATGATACAGCTAAATTTAAATTCTATGCTTTATCTTTAACATAACTGTTGAAAAGTATTGAATAAATTGAGCCTAATATTTAGCTTTTTTCCCTAATAAGTCATAATATATAAGTAGTTATATGTAGTTAAATGTCAATATCTACAGGATACGGAAATTTACGTACGGGGGAAATATTTTAAACAAATGTCCTCCTCCAACAGTAAAGGTAGGTACTCTCCTAGGTACCCTCCTAGAAAAGGTACTCTGAGTAAGGTACTCCAGACGTGCACTTTAATTACCCGACAAGTGGTACTCGTTACTCCAACCAACTCTCTGTAAACAGAGATTAAGTCACCCTTTGTACTAGTATTAGATCACCAAACAGTCGAGTTTACAAGTCGTTGGAGAGAGATTACAGCCGCACCGCTGTTCGTCGCGAACTACTGGTCACGTGACGAGTTATTGGTCACGTGGTTACAAACGAATCTAGAGCACGTTTGAATATGATTTAGACTTATAAAGTACTGCTTTATTTGGACACTTTCAAGAGCTCAAGACTCAAGAAAGGATTACACGCGAGTCAGACATGTTTTGCAATTCGTATCAAACACTTTAATGGTTTTCATGCTAGGAATAAGATCATCACATTATGACTCAATGTTTCAGAGGAGTTTGTATGAGGGGTATTTTCAAATTCATTCTAATAAAATCACCTCTGATTCATTGCCGGCGCTGACCCTAAAGGCTCACTAAACCAGCACTGGGCCCTGCACACGGTTAGACTAATAAAATTTAACTTATGTCGTGATTAGAACAGTCCTGGAACTGGCAGCCTTCCAGCCCTCCAGACCTCCCAAAATCAGATCATTTCTACCCTGATCAGAGAAAATAATCTCATTACCTCATTAACTCATTAACTCATTATATCGTTATCTTTTTTCCAGTTTAAAGACAAATCTGTAAACCCCAAGTTTTGCCAGTCTAACAGGCCTGGCTCCACCTGGTGGTACTATAAATAGCATTTGCTGGCAGGGAGCCAAATTCATCTCAACACTCAAGTGAGACACAGCCCTCATAGCACAGACCGTCACTCTAAACATGGTATAATCACACACACAAGGTCCCTCTACTGCATTTAATTCATGTGATAAAAGAGACCGCACCTGTTTGTTTATTTGATAGAGATATGGAAATTGTATGGTGATGAAACCATTTACCCCCGATCTGTTATCACTGATGTAACAAAGTCTCGCTAGCTGGTAGCAAAGCTTGTTCGTTAAGTTGTACGTGTCTAACAATTACTGAATCAGTAATCATCTGCCTCCCTCAGACAGGTTGATATGGCCACTTATAAAGTTATAATTGTATAAGGTATTGAAGTAAGATGATCCATGAACTGACATCGCCACTACACGACGAATGAATTATACATGACACCTGGTTCCTTAACAATCTGTCACTCTGGACACATTGCTGGCTGAGGTTGTCTTACGGACCACTTTGATCAATTCACTCATCTCACCGATATTAATTAAGCGGCTTTAATTATTCGCAACACCAAATAATATGAAATATCATCATATCCGCGAGCAGCTGTAATGATGTGATATGTAATGATAAGTACACATGAGTGTTGAGTAATGATATTTACACACGCCTCTATCTGATCCAGCCGCAGCAACTTTCACATCATAATCATTACATCTAATTACATGATACACGTGGTAATTACATGGTAATTACTGTCTATAATCGGCCGGAATATCACCGGAAATCGAGGGAAATTTTAATATAATGCTGGGCGCGGAGATACTACTGGGAAATTGTATTTTTAATAAAGGATACTAATTAAAAGATACAGAGGATACAAGTATCCGTAAGTCGTGGTTTAGTGTCCACGATTATTCTGACTAATTATTTTCGTATCCATCCCTCTGCGCATTACACACTTGGATGCACAGAAGCTAACTCAAATTCTTATCATCAATTTATTAAATTTGATTACTTCTTTTCTAATCGCATTAAACTCCTCATTCATATAATGACATATCACTGTAAGTCAGCAAACAGTTTACAGTAATAACCACAGAAGATGGAGCCATACTTCTAATTCAATTACCGTGCACTGACCTTGCATTTGAACATGCTTTCGTTTTCATGCTCACAAATTAGCCAATTATTCAAATGTTCCGATTTTTTCTTAATTTTTGAACCAAGATGGTATGAACAATGTATGAATAATGTATGAATTATGTATGAAGAGTACATGAAACCTTAGGAAATTTCGAATTTTGCACTCAAAGTCTCCTTACCCCTAAGTTCCATGCCCGAATTTTCACTCAAATTTTTCACCCAAATAAAATTTGCCCGAATTTTTAACCCACATTTTTCGCTTTGACTGAAATATTCGGGCTAAAAAAATTCGTGAACTTGCGCACGAATTTTTTAAATTTCACTCAAATAATATAGTCGCTGCGGTTGTAATCAATACTATAATTGCATTTCGTTGTCCTAAATGTTTCTGGGATTACCTAACGCATATCATCATAACACTAATGATAACAACGCTATTACACTACACATCGATTACACGATTAGCCATTTTATTGAGGAGCTGCAGTGAGTCATTTTCGGGTTCCCAAGAACCAATGTTTTATTATCTGATATTTAGGACGACTGAGGAGAACTGAGGAGGATGACTGAGGAGGACTGAGGAAGAGGAGGAGGAGGACTGAGAAGAAGGGGGAGGAGGAAGAGGACTAAGGACGAGTAGGACTGAGGATGAGGAGGACTTAGGAGGGGAAGGACTCAGGAGGAGGAGGACTCAGGACGAGGACGAGGAGGACAAGGAGGACTGAGAAGGAGGACGAAGGACGAGGAGGACTGAGAAGGAGGACGAAGGACGAGGAGGACTGATAAGGAGGACGAGGAGGACTAAGGACGAGGAGGACTGAGGAAGAAGAGGAGGAGGAAGCATCTAAATGTTATTTCCACAACATTCTTGTCCGTTTTTGTTCCGTTCTTGTCCGCCCTACTTTTTGTCCGTTTTGAAAATATAGGGTACCGAACGGACAAAAACGGGCACAAAACATGATCCCCTCCCCAGTCCTTATATCTTTATATTAATTTAAGTTGGTCAAACATGTTAATTGCGAAGGAATTATTCTTGACTATGAAAGTTCAAACAACTTAATTTAGATATGTCAACCCTATTTTCTTAAATTTACACAAAAAAGTTTATAGAAAATATATGAAGGACACTAATTTGCTTCAGCACATTGGTTGTTACACTAGTTTACGTGATGTTTACGTAATTTTCATCCTAATTTAAACTTAGGTGGTCGCAGTCTCGATCTCACCCGACGCAACCGATACGCGTATCGATTTCCGCACGCAAATTATTTGGGCATGGAACATGTCACCCGAATAAATTTTTTTCACAAATAAAATTTGCCCGAATTATTTTACCGTATTATTTGGCCATGGAACTGGGGTTTTAAATAGCAGACAGCTAAATAAATGTTTCTAATTTTAGTTACACCCGACTTTAAAGCAGACAATTTTCCGTCTGCCTGTAAATTTGAAATGAAGGAAAATGCGAGGAATGAATAATGCGTGAAGTAAAACTGGAAATATCTCAACTGCGAGTCGTTGCTATTTCAAGAATCGAGCATCACGCGTACAGCTAACCAAAGGTCACGAGAAAGTCTTGTGATTCCCTGACAACAAAGATTCCGGGACAAGGGGACCTGTGAAAATCTACGACTCTTGTCAGTCGTAACCATATATGGTCAAAAAGTCGTGTTTTTGTCGCGTAATGTGTTTTTACATAGCCAGTAGCAAGGCCTGTCAACAACATACGGCTTCAGAAGACATACTATATTATTACGGTCAAGCCGTACAAGATCAAACGCTATATTCAACATTTAGCCCTTTGACTTAACCTATTGAGAGGACTAAATGAGAGTTCCAACTGGGTCCATCTCCAGTCTCTACATCCAATACATCAGCTGATAGTTGTTACAAATCATCAGAACAAATGGAAGTTTCCAGAAATAACTCTCAGATCGGACGCCAGTCAGTGTGAGTCATATCACTCGTAAATGTTGTTAGAAAACCTAAAGTTAACGCAAAAAAAGTCGCCAGAATACAGTAATATTTTTTTTTACTCTCGTTTAAAAACTCACAATTTTTTGTAGCCAGTAGTAAGTAGCTAGTAAGTGTAAGAATCAATTAAAACCAGGTAGGTACTAATTGTACGAAGGTGCAACACACCCGAGCGGAAGCAAAGTGTAATAAGGTTAGAAAGAACGGTAACTGAGCTGACTGAAACTAAAAGGTGAAACCTGCAGGCTATAGGATAGGTGTACTGTACACTGTACAATGTTATAGACAAGATTAGATGATATGTCATTGTTTACTTGTTCACATGTGCTGCAAGCATAATAATATTTGCGTTGATAATAATAGCAATAATGCCGCATGTGCTATTTGCAGATTGCAGCTCAAATTTTGACGAATTTAATGACTAACATCCACAATCCACATGTAATGGTACAATATTTTCCCCCGATTTTTTAATTTAAAAACTGGTCATCTCCATATTGTGGGCTACCCAAATTTCTACTACCAGAATTGTAAACAGTCTATTGTCAAACATTATCTGTGCCAAAATTGTTTAAAACCAAAGACTATCGACTGTTAAGAGAAACCATAAATCTCAACTTTAAGCAAATTTCCCTTCAATAGTAAAGCAATATCCCACCTTATTGTGGCGACTAAAAGTAACATTAATTTACCAACATTAGGTGTAAGGATAACTAGTGGTAACTGCAGTCTGACGGACAGGGAACAACTTGTTACTAAGCAATACATTAACTTAATGATTATACACTGAAATGTAACTTATGTGGAGGGTTAACCACGTTATTCGCCGAAAGAAAACCGTTCAGTCGGGGGATTCGATATTTGAGTTGACAGTTTGGTATAAATTGAAGATTTCACTGAAATAGAGATTCCACGAAATGGGGAAGTTCATAAGTCAAAAATTTAAATGCGACACTGAAATGTTCACTCAATAATCGATTCCACCAGAAATTTCGCTGTCAACTCATTTGCCAGTTTTAAAGTTATTGGCTAACGAGCGTCAAGAACTCTGATGTTTTTAGAAAAAGTAACAAACAGGAGACTCTGCCTTCATTGTCAGATTAATAGAAGTCAATAAAGCTGATTGGGGCCACAGACTAAACATTCGGGGTCGCTGGTCAGGAATAAAAGCGCAAATGTATGTATATATCCGTTATAAACAAGAAGAATTAAGTGAAGTACAAACCTGAAGTTGTTCCCAGTACTTGTGCAGTTCCTCAATCAGTCTGTCAATATCTACACTCTTCCACTGGTTAAGAGCAGCCACATACTCCGCCCAACAACCTCCAAACTTCAGAACTACCTGGTGTAGGACTCCTGAGAATAGAGGCACTGTTACACTTACTGTTACACTTACTGTTACACTTACTGTTACACTTACTGTTACACTTACTGTTACACTTACTGTTACACTTACTGTTACACTTACTGTTACACTTACTGTTACACTTACTGTTACACTTACTGTTACACTTACTGTTACACTTACTGTTACACTTACTGTTACACTTACTGTTACACTTACTGTTACACTTACTGTTACACTTACTGTTACACTTACTGTTACACTTACTGTTACACTTACTGTTACACTTACTGTTACACTTACTGTTACACTTACTGTTACACTTACTGTCACACTTACTGTTACACTTACTGTTACAGTTACTGTTACACTTACTGTTACATGTGATTTTGTACGTAACCCGCGCTTGTCTCCGTCAATAGTTAATTAATTAAAGCCACCGCGGGCTGCAGCTTCAGAGTGACATTATTGCTTAACTTTTAATTACTGCCCTGCCCACCATTCGTGTGTCTATTGTCGCGTTGTTATTTAGCAATTATTGGAGATATTCATAGAGATCATCTCAGTGACTTACCCCAGATGTTAAGCAATACTCCTTTACATTCAGCTATGATAATGTTAGTGACAAACCCAAAATGGGCGTCAAAATTCGCCGCAAAAACGTAGATTATGGTTTATCGTAACTTCTTTTGATCGAAGGGTACGAAGGTATTCACTACATTTTCAATTTTATGAATTGTGGAATAATGGCGAAGTTCATCAAAAATTCATCAAAATAAATTGGAATATTTTTGTCGACAAATCGTAGAACGGTGCGTCTACAGGACTATTATAATTATCTGGATAATTCTGACTAGACTTAATTTGCCTAATTATATATGTAAGCTTCCTGTGTTGAGTCGTAATTCTGATTCCAGCTTATTATCATAACCCATGACCTTGACAGTCGTTTATAAAGTAGTAGATGATGAAATAAACATAACGATGAATGTTACACTTACGGACTGTGTTTGATATGAAGTTAATGTTGGTAGTTATTGTTAAAGGCGTTATCAAAAATTGTGACTTAGCGCAGCTTACACTTATTAATTGTTATTAATGTCATGGATGTTTACCAACAAATTATGAAAATGACATTTTTTAGTTATATTATGTAAGCAGCATTATATGCAGTTGCTGGAAGTTGATGTTTAGAGGCATTCTTAATCGGGTTAGAACTATTTCCCAACAATATGCGTCTCAGTACCACGTGACAGACAAACAGAAACGAAAACCACTTAGTTTAAGGAAAAGAAAAATATAAAGTAAATTAAATAAACGCCTCAAAAATAACCTTATTCAACATTCAAGTCTAAAACCCGTATGAAATAAAAAGAGAAACTCGTAGCTGACGGAAAGAAAAACCATTGGCAAACAGAAAGAGAAACTGTAATCAAATAGAAAGAGAAACTAACGGTAGTGAGCACCAGGATACTTGATGAGCTGTCTAAACCTATTGACCAGATCCTCTCCCTTTGTAATGAGAGTTCTCTCCAGTTCTCCGTCATAAGCCAACACGCTCCTGAGGAAATATATTAGGAATACTATAGGGCCTGTCGTGATATCATGGATCGCTTAGGTTCCACCAGGATCTGGTAGTCCTCATAATTCTGCGGCCTCTATGTATCGTCATCTCGCACAACTCTGAAAAACCGTTGTGAGTTTGGCATGTGAAAATTTGCAGCCTTCTAGACATCGATTGGGTTAACGAGTTGTCGTACGTCACCTCAAGATCGGGTGACAGGGGGCTGAACAGGCCAGAACCCAATTGATTGGGTCTGAGGTCACGTGATTATGAGCCGGAGGTCACGTGACTATGACGTCACCAGAGCTCGTTCTCCGTTTCCCGCTCTTTGGACCAGGTGAGCTTGCATGCTTGTGAATGTGGGTGTAAGTACAGCTGTACTGTAGTTTATATCCAATTACCCCTAATAGAACGAAGATTTATTTTCTGACAGAAAGCTAGAAATTTACCAAAATATCGACTTTGTTCAAAATTTATTTTGATGACAATTCCTGACCTAAAACTGCACGAGAAATCGATTAAACTTGGTTTCAGAACTCAACAATGCTTCCTTATGCCTTAAAATCCATGTTTTATAGATACAATAAACATTTTGATCCTGTTGATTACTTAGTAACAGGTAACAAATACGCAGAAACAACCATCACACCTACATTGCATTTTTAACGGGTCGATTTAGAGTGACCAATAATCGTCGTGATGATACGTCATGTGTTCCTGATCATCATCATCAGCAATCAAGAGACAGGAGCGGGCCGTTGATAAATGTAATTGTTTGCCGACGTTAGATAAAATATACCGTTCGCGAACAAATTAAACACAAAATTCTTAGGTCAGGCAAGCATTTAAAAGTAAAACAAAAGTTCTACAAAATTACTAGACAATTTACTTATTTAAACAGCTTGTTTCTCTTAAAGTGAAATCGACGATTGGAATAACGAAACACAAGTTTTTGAAAACGCTAAATATTGGTCCGTAACATGCGATTTAGAACTCTTCCATCGATTTCTAGAAGGAGAACTTTTCAGTAGAATTTAAAAGTACGTACGATACGAGTAAATTAAAAAGTCCGACTCATTCGTACTTCTCATCTTAGGTCTGCACATAACAGACTTTTATGTACAGACAGCCGTTATTAACAGTACATAGTAAACAACACACACCATGTTCTAGTTGTACCTGTACATTATAACAATGTTGGTGTGTACTAGGAACCGACCGGAATGGGCTTTTGGCTGCCGGACCGGATCTTGCCGGATATCAATTTATTATCCGGTTAGCCGGATCTGCCGGACCGGAACCGGTGTTAGGAGGGTAAAATATAAGGCAGCCGGAACTTGCCGGAAAATTTAAATTAATCCTTATTATTGGGCTTTTGTCATTATCAATTATGATATTTATCCTTATAAGCCATAGTTTGTAATTACATAATAAGTTCCGCATTTCTAAGAGCTATACGACGTGACCAGACCGATGATGTTTACTGGCCTTGCTGACAAAAATATTTTTTTACGCCAGCAATATATATGATAAGTCTGTGTTTCTCCCTACTTCCCAACCCGACTAAGTGTGTCTGGTTACTAGAATAGTACTGGTACTCTGTACCCAGTACTGTACTGATAAGATAGTAGGCAGTGGGAGGGAGTAGTCTAGTGATAAGGTAAACCTGGTTAGTGAAGTTTCAGTCCCGGTAGATTGAGTAGGTGACATTGTATACAGAGTAGATCTCTCTAGATGAACACATTGGAACCAATCAGGGACCAGTATTCCAATATTGGAACCAATCAGGGACCAGTATTCCAATATTGGAACCAATCATTACTGTCCGTACTTATCGTTGTTACTTATTCTGTATCAACTCTGTCTGACCCGAGTTTAGGAAACGAAATGTGCAAGAATTCTGAATACCATTCTGACACGTGCAATTCGTGCATGATTTTTACTGGTTATAACAGGTCCATTATTGAGGTTACTCTTTATTTCCCTACTTCCGATTTAACACATGTAGTAACATTTGCAGGGAATATTGTAACCTTTCACCGATTGTTTAGTGTAAAAATAAAGTTTATTGATGCACGATTATGCAGGCCTCCCCTTTGCAACACGAGCTCGGAAGCGGGAGCTCTCGATACGGTGATGTCATTATATTAATTATAAACAATGTAAGCTTAATAATATTCAATATTCATGTCATATATGCTCTACTGAAATTTTCATTTTCATGGTGCTGTGCCTTGAAAATGATCCTCTTATTTGTAAAGCTATTCTCAATACACATGCAGTCACAAAGTGTGATAACTGTTTCTACAGGGGTCGAATTCACAAAAATAACGTAAGCCATTGATTTAAAGCAACCGCCGCTCCTGTCTCTTGATTGCTGATGATGATGATCAGGAACACATGACGTATCATCACGACGATTATTGGTCACTCTAAATCGACCCGTTAAAAATGCAATGTAGGTGTGATGGTTGTTTCTGCGTATTTGTTACCTGTTACTAAGTAATCAACAGGATCAAAATGTTTATTGTATCTATAAAACATGGATTTTAAGGCATAAGGAAGCATTTTTGAGTTCTGAAACCAAGTTTAATCGATTTTTCGTGCAATTTTAGGTCAGGAATTGTCATCAAAATAAGTTTATAACAATGTCGATATTTTGATAAATTTCTAGTTTTCTGCCAGAAAATAAATTTTCGGTTTTTATAGGGGTAATTAGGTATAAACTACAGTACAGCTGTACTTACACCCACATTCACAAGCATGCAAGCTCACCTGGTCCAAAGAGCGGGAAACGGAGAACGAGCTCTGGTGACGTCATAGTCACGTGACCTCAGGCTCATAATCACGTGACCTCAGACCCAATCAATTGGGTTCTGGCCTATTCAGCCCCCTGTCACCCGATCTTGAGGTGACGTACGACAACTCGTTAACCCAATCGATGTCTAGAAGGCTGCAAATTTTCACATGCCAAACTCACAACGGTTTTTCGGAGTTGTGCGAGATGACGATACATAGAGGCCGCAGAATTATGAGGACTACCAGATCCTGGTGGAACCTAAGCGATCCATGATATCACGACAGGCCCTAGGAATACTACGAACTACATACTACCATTACTACCAGTACTACCATATTAATTCATGTTTTGTCATGTTAGCATGAGGAGAGTGTAAGATTTTGTAAGCAATTTGGGTTATTAGGTTTACAATAATATTTACAAAGAAGCTAGCTAGACCCCCTACCTGGGGAAATATTTTATCATGAAGCAGGTCAATAGGATTCGGGGTCCAGCCTTTCGGTTCCAGGTTTGATTGAACCGGTAGATAGCATCCAGGAGATTACTGCTAGCTTTGATGTTGTTGCGGGAGATTATGATGCGACGCAGGTCGTAGTAAGTCGCTGGTTCTCGGGTTCCCAGCAGCTCTTTGGGGCACACTTGGAGGAACTCACGGATCCTCTTCTTCAGTATCATGGTGTGCCACCTGATGGTATCATATCAAGTCAAATACATACAGTGAAACGAAATTAATTGTAAATTAATTGTAACAACTCTTGTTTCTAGCCAAAAGTTGAAAACTTGTTCAAAGCTTGGAAAATTATTAGATAGGTTTACAGAACTACATAATAAGAGACCCACCATATCTGGATACGGCGTGCAGCACACCACCTACAGGAGGTCAAAGAACGGAGCTGTCTGTTTCTCAGCTCCAGGTTTCTCCTAGCAATCCCAGCAGCAAGCTTCTCACGGATTGCCTCTAGACGGTCTTGTTGCTCCTTCTCTTGACGCTCAATGTTTGTAAGACGCTTTAGTTTCGCATCTGCAACCTTTTGCTTGCATCTGATGGAAAATCCAGATAAGATGAGAAAATAAGTGATCATAAACTTTGATAGTTTTTTGGGATAAAACTTATCAGGATGGGGCAAAACGTTACCTAACAGAGATTGACTTCAGTCGTCGGGAACGTTTACACTCAGCGTTTTGGAGTCTTGTGTTCATCTTCTTGATAGTCTGCTCAGCCTGAAACTTTTTATTCTCCGAGTTTTCCTGCACAGTCTTCTTTACGTGACCAACTTGATCTGACAGTCGTCTTACACGACCGTTGATGATGGCTTTTCGCTTCGCCTCAGCCATACTAATGTTTGCAGTTTTGCTTTCCCTGAGTATATTAAAATCGCTCTAAGATCATTTCATAATTCATCATGCAAAAATGTTGAGTATTCAATGCTTAATTGAAATAAAATATAAACTAATATAGCACTTTAATAATATGAACATTGAACCTACCACATTTTGCGTTTTCTGCTCTCAATCCTGTCTTTTAAGTAGGATGGTAGTTCCAGAGGAGGACTGCAAGCCACATCCTCGTTTATCCAAACTTCGGCATATTCCAGGGTTTGCACCCGAAGTTTATAGTTGCGATAGCCATTGCTATGTGTCTAAGGTAATACAGGGTAAGATGACAGTTTCACCTGGTGTATGCAATGGGTCAATCTATTAGCCTCTAACTTAATTGATCACACGATCATAAATAATAATGCCGCATAGAAATTGCATTTAAACTTTTGTTGTGTATCATACATTTTCTAATATTGATAATTGCCACTGCAGTTGTACAGAATCCTAGAAATCATTTTATCTCCTTTGATTTTTCTCAATAATACTGGTACTTTCCAAGCTACAACCTCACATGTAGAAGGACTGTGGTGTTTTCGTTTGCTCAACTTACTTCTAAAATGCCATTAATTTAGTGTAATTGCACTAACTTTTACATTTAAGATGAAAGCACAAATTTTGATGAAATTGTAAATACTTACCAATGTCAAAGCAGTAATACTTTGTGGTGATCTCACCAGAAATGAGCTTAACACTGCACACAATATCTTCAATACTAGTGTATTGCACCGATTTATATTTGGTAGTTTTTAGAGATTCCCAGTAAATTTATTCAATCAAAATACACATAAATATCAATCCAATCATTACCGGACCACTTTCAATCTATTGTACGGTCGAATTGATTGTACGGTCAAAAATATAAATTCGTGTTCAGAGTTCCTAGTACTGTATCAAGCAGAAATACCGTTTACTAAAAAGGCCATCTATAAAAATTATCAGAGATATCAATATAACCGATTCAAACTCAAGTGCAGTATAGTAAGGTAAAATAAAGCGTGAACTACTTCCAAAAACTGCAGCATGTCCAGCATTCTCCATACACAGGAAATACTACCTTGGTAACTATACCATCAGAGAGGACACCTTCCATCAAACCTTCTCTATCAGTAACATAGTGGGGTTCGCTAGAGCTACCAAGTATCTAGATTTCTATGAACCCCCTTAGTCTCTTTCTCTTAGCCTTAGCTGACGTAATTGTCCCTCTACCACAATCACCCTCCCCTCCCCAGATCGTGTTCAGACTTGCAGAAGGTCCTGCTACCCAGCCAGTTCTAAGGGCTCAATAGTCCACTGGACGGCTCTCGTAGCTTGACTTAATGCCTGTCTCTCTCTCTCCCCCCTCACCCCTCTTTTTCAAATTTGCTGATTGTGGAAGGGACAACCACGTTACCTACTCAGTTTCCTTTTATTGCTCATTGACATGATTCAGGGACTTCCCCAGCCCTCTATATCTTTAACATGATACCTCCCAGGACCATAGTATTCCATACCAGACATTTCTTTAACTCCTCGTTACAGCAAGACTAATACAACACGGAGAAGAAAAGAAATAGAGACAAGAATACGACAGCCATGGACTCCTACAAAAGACTAACAGAAGGAACATCCCGGTTTGATCCTTCTGAACTATGCATCTTATATCGGTATAGTATTGGTATCTATTTATTACCTATTGTTATTTTTTATCTTTGCTAGTTAATCAGGTTTTTGGGTACCGGGCCATCCTGGTTACCCTGCTATGGGCCGTTCCCCTGGCTTATGCAGGTCTAGTTTACCCATATATATACTTCCAAAAACTATGTGACCAAACTACGAAAAAATAGTAAAAAAACTCCTTCATTGATGACTTTCAAACAGCATGAAAATATTAAAATATTTTTGTGTTTTGGTAACATCAGAGCTAGAGATATTTGAAAAATAAAACTAATCCGCGACTACAAGATTTTGCATTTTTATTTATATTAAAAGTTTTTATTCAAGAAATACAATTATTCACAAATTATCACAAACATATTCGGTAAAAATTGATGTTTAGCTAGAAAAGCAAGCATCGTCACATTAACATTACATTAACTGGTGATACTTGTAAAATATTTGTTCCAAATATTAGGACCGTCTAACCAAATATTATGATTTTTGACACCAACTCGGTGAGTTTTGGTAAATTATAAACTTACAATTGTCAAACGTCTCAAAGAACTTTGATATAATATATTAAAAAGTGAATTGTTAATCTTTTATACTTATACTATTTGTACAATATGAAGAACGATTGAATTATATTTTGATTTTCTTTCATTACTAAACTCACCATTGCAAAATATCAAACCAAAAATATTTAAATGTAATATGCGTAAAATAAATGATTTAAAGTTTTTCTTGTAACCTTCGTACCGAAATGCGCGCCAAGTTGAATTTGTCGACGGTCTTGGAATATTTGAAACAAATATTTTACAATAGTATCACCCGTTAAATTTAATTTTTAACTTTTAAACTATTTGCTATCGTGTATCGTTTTTAAATAAATCTGCAGCTGCCTTTTTGTAGCGCTATGCACTATTAGGACGCGCCGCGCATCAAATGATGAGAAAAGACAATTTTTTTTTGAGAAAAGACAATTTTATTATTTATCACCAATTCAATACATAATCAATAAATATATATCCGAATAAATTTGATTAGAAATTAAATGATACAAGTATGCTAGCAGCTAGCGCGCTTATATTTGAGAAATATTCACGCTGTTAAAATGGGTTTTACCACACCGCCACTCACATTAGCACAGTTGGTGAACGGACCCAGGCGCTGTTAAGCTTTTATGAGCCCTGGTTGACTGCTGAGAGTGGCGAAGGGGCTGATATTAATTTTATCTTAGTTTAACCTAGATTCCAATAAAATTTTAGTTTTGTGTTATAATTATATGATTTTTATGCGATATTTAAGTTACAGCTGCTCGCAATACATTATTGCTTAAAAATTGTTAAATATGCTCGCTATACGCTTAATTTTAGATACCGTATGTATATATACATATCAGCTCATAATACCAAATAACAATAATAAATAAATTAAAAGCATTGAAGAGGTCCAAAACCAATTCAAGCATGACACAAAGTTGAATACATTTTCATCGGAAGCTGCAAGCTTATTAACGTTTGATTCCGTACGTTCATGATCCGTTATTATGCATTCACCTTCAGGCGGTGTCGACGGATCATGCGAAAAGGGTTTTTGACAGGCTGTGCCCTTACCATAATTAAACTGAACCATTGCCTGATACGATGTAAACAAGAGTGTTGGATAGGTGAGCCGCGCAAGCGCTCGCGCATTTGTGTCGCTCTGACAAATAGCACTTGAATAATTTAGCTACCAAGACGTAAATCGCGCGTTACGTAAAGTATTATTTTTCCCTTCGGATAAAGTGAACGTTACACCCGCGTGTAACCTGCTTTAATGTTTTGTGTGCATGTGTGGTGGAGTGAGTGTATAATGTAATGATTGAATGAATCTTTTTTCTTTGTGGTGCATATATGATGTGAGTGACAGGTGTAAAATCTAAAATATATAAATATAAATGGGGGTCTTTTCATAGGAAAGTGTTGAAGTTTAAGTCCTGCCAGTTAATATTGTCAGGTTGGTGTTGAGCCTTCATGATAGAAAGCTTCAATCGGGATTTAATTGAACCTAGTGAACCTATTTTACCACGTGCATTTGACTGCTCAAGAAACCTATTCCATAAATTTGCCCCTTTATATGCGAAATTGTGAGATGAGTGTGGTGTCACAAATCTGTCATCTCTGAGCTCAGACTTCTTAAAGAGAGAATACATGGATATGGGCTGATGACTCTTCACTATCTTCATTGTTTCAGTAATGCATCTGTATCTATATATGTTATGTACTGTCATTAGTTCCTTAGATTGGAAAATAGGTTTTGTTGATTCTCTAGAGTGGAATTCTGCCCCAAGTATTTGGCAGCGATGTGGCCTTGCTTGTTTATCACCAGTCTTCCTCAAGCTGATACATATAGAACACGGTTTAATGTGAGGTATAGTTGATTCATTTGATATTTGACCTTTCTTGTTTATACTGCACTGGATTGGCCTGCTACGAGAACAAGTTTTAAACTTGTCGCTAAATGCTTCCGAGTCCCCAAATAAGATTCGGACACATTTCTTCTGTGCAAGGAATAGTGGTGAAAGCTTATTAATTGATACACCACCCCATACAGTTATACCGTATCCTAGATGAGATTCAAAAAGAGTGTGGTATATCTGTTTGTACAGCTGGCTGGGGAGGGAGTTTTTTATTCGATAAATACGGCCACATATGCTGTTTAATTTCTTAGTTAGTTTCTCGATATGAGGTGTCCAACTCAGTTTGTCATCAATAATTACACCTAGAAATTTCGTTTCAGTAACCTGTTTGATCGGGATCCCATCAATTTCTAGATTCAAGTCATTTTCAGTATTATCAATGGTCTTACGTTTAGTAGGCGAGAAGTACATGTAACAAGATTTTTTAACATTAATGTGCAGTAGGTTATGGCGCATATATTGGCACACAGAGTCGAGAATTTCATTCGCTATTTTGTATGCTTGTTCCTTAGTTTCAGCAGCTACAAAGATGTTTGTGTCATCTGCAAATAGTACAAATTTTCCTAATGTACTACATCTATAGATGTCATTTATATAGATAAGAAAAAGCAAGGGGCCCAAAACGGATCCTTGAGGTACGCCTAGTTTAACTGGGAGAGGCTCTGATTCTTCACCAAGTACACTAACATACTGGTATCTATTATTTAGATAGCTGGAGAGCAGCTTTAGTGCGTTTCCTCTAACTCCGTAATTACTAAGTTTCTTAAGTAGCATATCAAATGGTAAGGTATCAAATGCTTTAGAGAGATCGATAAATATTCCTAATACGTGGTTTTTATTATTCCGTTTTTCTTCGACGTGATTTACGGAGTAGTTAAGAGCATGACTTGTCGAGTGGTTTTTTCTAAAGCCGAACTGATTTTCGAATATTATTCCTCGAGATAAGAAAAAGTTGTATAATCTACTGTAAATAATTTTTTCAAATATTTTACCAAATACTGGTAATGTTGATACTGGCCTGTAATTCTCTAGTAATTCCTCATCTTCTTTTTTATATATCGGGGTTATCTTACCCGTTTTCAGTTGATCAGGGAAGACACCTTCATTCATGCAGTTGTTATAAATTCTGGCAAGATGTTCTGATATAGTTTGACTACACT